ATGATGTGAGGTATAAAGTATTTATGTGCATGGTGTCTGTTTATCATTTCCCATAAATATCGATTTGACAATGAAAAAATGTATTGAAAATATCCATCCTTTCACTTTTACATTGATAGCAGTATTGTAAATCAAATGATTCTGTTATATATGGTTCTGTTTCTGAATTCTGTCTTGTGTTCAACGTTTTTAAAACATTTTTTATATTTAATATAGAATCTGTTCAAGTTTTAGTTTCCAGTTGTTTATAATAGAAAATACAACTTATATTGATTTTTACATTTACCACCCTTGCTAAATTCACATCAGTGCTAATAGTTTATCTGTATTCATTTGGGTTTTCATTGTTCACAGCTCTGGGCCTGCCAATATTGTAGTTCTTATTTCTTCGACTTCAGTCATTTTAACTTTTCTTTCTTTTCCTTGCCTTATTGTACTGCCTGGAAACGTGAATTTAATATTAAATAGAAGTAATGATAGCATGAATTTTATACATTATTTGTTTCTACCTTTTGAGCTGATTGCTTTTTTCCTTTATTCTCCTAATGTAGTGAATTAAACTAAACAGTTTTCAAATGTTAATTAAATCTTCCATTTCTAGAATATTCAACTTGGTCATAATCCTTGTCCTATTTAAGTTCCTTTGGATTTAGTGTACTAATATTCTTGCTTAATATTTTGTATCTATGTTTAGGGGAGGTTGTTCAATAGATTTCCTGTTTAATAATGTTCATGTTAAGTTTTGGTTAAAGTTATGCTGACCTGAAAAAACAGTAGGGAACAATTAGTTCTTTTCTCTATTCACTCCTCCCCTCCCCTCCACTCCCTTCCTCTTTTTCTCTCCTTTTCTCTTGTATCCTCCTCAAAATACTCCCTCTCACTTCTAGCACACTTACTTCTTGTTCTTGTCAGCGTATGAAGCCGTTCTGGAAGTCCCCTTGCATCGTGTCTTTTAAGGTACACGGTCAAAACTATGGCGAATACTACTTGCTCAAGTGCCCTTCAGTGGCAAGGCAGGCTTGTGAAACATTACTGTGTCCTCACCCACCCTGTTTACCAGATTGGGCCTATCATGAAACTTCTATCTAGCCCTTCTCAAAAGTCAATATGACCATCAAATGGAAATATTTTGAATCAGTTCAGGACATTGAGGCAGCCGTGTAACCATAACTAAAGAGACTCACAAATGAGGGCTTCCAGAACCGATTCAGAAAGTGACAAGAATGATGGGATAGGGCTGAGGATTTAGCTCAGTGGTTTCGCCGCCTGCTGCACAAGTGCAAGGACCCAAGTTTGATCCCCGGTATAAAAAAAAAAAAAAAAAGAATGATGGGAGGAATGTTTTTGAAGTGAGAAGGATGATTTTGAGGGACATTAATAGTGATGTGTGTTTCACTGTAATAGAGTTTTTAAACATTTTTGGTAGTTTTTGATCATACCTCATATATTGCATTTCCTATTCTGTTACTTACTGAGAGTGATGTATAAGAATTTAGATTACTGTTTTGTATAGATCTGAGGCAACAGATGTGTGTGTGTGTTCGTGTGTGTGTGTGTGTGTGTGTGTGTGTGTGTGTTGCTATGCATATTTTTTAATTCATTCTGTTAGGTTCTGGCTGGTGTGGTTCTGTTTGAAAAGTCAACTGTTTCTCATCTTTGAAGACAAGGTTCCTTTTTGTTCCTGTTCTTTCAAGAGTTTTTTCTTTGCCTTGGATCTCAGCTGTTTATATGTTATGCTGTGGTGGTCAGCCTCTAAAACAGACACCAATAATCCCTGCCTCCTGCTGCTCTCCTGTAACCCTTCTTCACTGTGCATTGTACCTACTACTTTGTTGTGTATCAGTACAATAGGGCAGAATTGTTAGTATCTTTTTGGTATCTTTCAGTGTTTAAATAATGGCATATAATTATATATAGAAATTAAGAGAATTTTGTTTTCTTGGGATGCGCTACAGAAGCAGCATATTAGCACAGCTCCAAGTAACTTGCTAGGTAAAACATACTGTCCATCTCTGTTGTAAGGGATATTGACCAGTGCCCAGGACACTAAACACTTGTCTGTTTAGAAACTATACTCTGGTTTATATTCTTCAGCTCTGATTGCTATAGGTACATTTGTCAAAAGTTGCTTTTGAAGTTATTTATGCTCTTTATACTTATTTTATAATTTTATGAAGATATAAAGATTTATGACTTCTGTGAAAACAAATTTCTAAAACTATAGAGGTGAACTAATAAAGGAAGTATAGGTGAATTAATTTTTTTTGAGCAAATCTAGAATATTTCTTCAGTGAAATTGTTTGGGTTTTTTTTTTTTTTTTTTGGTATTGAGGATCAAACTCGGGACCTTGCCCTTGGGAGGCAGGCAGAGGCACCGCTGACCTAAATCTGTGGCTCAGAAATTATTTTTTGAAATGTTCAAATTAATAGTTCACCTTAAAGAGTTATAATAAATAATACAGTATACTGTGAGTGTGCTTTATGTATCAAGATGGTAAAGACGTCCAGTTTTTGGACCTGTATTAAAGAAGGTCTTATCCATATATCAAAGTATGAATTATATAAATATTTTAAATTAAAAATAAGGCAGTTAGGTTATATATTTGTTATATGGTATGCTTTCTTCAACCTTTTAGAGTAACTCAATTATTAGTTCTGATTGCATTTTGTAAGACAGTCTTATCTATACATCTGAATTCTGAGATGACATTATATCCTGCCCTTCTACAATGAATCTGAAACCTTTTCGAATGATACTTTACATAGAATTCATTCAAGTTCTGTTTTAGGTAATAGTACTAGTTAAAATCTATAAATTAAGTTAATACATGTTTGTTTATTAAGTGCATAAAAGCTCTTTCTAGATGTGCTTATCCAGAAGTTAAAGAGAATAGATAATTATTTGGTGACTCTTGCTCATTTACTAGCTACTTTCATAAATCATACAGATTATCTATATGCAAAAATCACCAGATACTTGTATTTTCTTCTGTTTGTTTTATATTCTGTAAAGCAAGGATAGGAGTCATATTCTTTCTATTAAACATTTATAATCTGCTATGAACAGATTTATCAAAGCAAGTGAGATTCACTCTTGTTTCTAAGAGAATGTAGTTCAGAAAAAGCATTATAGTAGACAGTTATAACAGAAATGAAATCAAAACGTACTTTGGTTCTTTTTCTTGTGAGTACAAATTTTTGAATTTATAAATAAGACTTTTGATGGTATAAATTACTTTTTTCTATATATGATCCATTTAAATATGTAACAGTGGCTTTCACATTTATATACATTTTAAGGAAGAGAAAAAACAGTTGAAATCATTGGCATTCTTCAAACTTATAATAAATTAAGAAAAGATAATTGATGTTACTTATTCATGAGTCTCATATTGTAATCTTGTGTTTTTTCTGCTCCTACTAACTTTATTCTTGGAATGCCTTCACACCTAGTCTTTCATAGTATCAGAATTTCTACTTCAGCAGTTAATTTCTTATAGACTATCTATTCTTGGAATGTAATTTGTTCATTCTGGCTTACCACAGTAGAAGTCCAAATATTTTTTCCTATGCAAGCATACCATAGGCATTAGGTCTTGGTGTGTGGGATCTTCAGCCTGTCACAAATTTCATTTTGCCATCTGCTTCAACCTGAGCTGTGTATCTTCTGCTGGCAGACTTTGCTAGAGTTGCCATGGCTCGGGATAAAAAAAAGTTAATCTTGGCATGAGAAGCTTGCTTTTGAAAAAAATAACAATTGATCGTGCCTGCTGTAGATTTTAAAATAAGCATTTGAAAGGATTTCCAAAAGTCTCTACTTAACATATTGATCATTTTTATTGTGATTATAGATATCTAATATAATTATTGAATTATTGGTAACTTTGACTTAATGAATTTTCTGATTTGTTTTTAAGGATAAGTAACAAATGGATATATCCATTAATCCACATGGATTAATGACATATTGTAAAATATTTTGATATCTCTGTCAATGAAGAGTTTTTACTTCATATCTTTCTTCCAGAAGTGATATTCAAATGACTACATGCTTTGTGTGTAATACACAAATGAAAGAGGCACCATCATAAAAAATCTAGGTGACAAACTGCTTATCAGGTATATAACTATATAGTTTCATCATCTGCAAAGCAGGGATAATGATACTTGAAGAGTTGTTTGGGAGATAGGATCAGAGTAAGTCCTTAAAAATGGACAAATAAATGTTTATTCTCCAAATGGTTATTGATGGCCAACTGCAAGGCATTTTTCTAGATAATGGTGACCTTATAGAAAATAAATTGTCAAATTATTCTACAAGAGAATTTTGCATTCTAGTTTGCCTCCAGTAACTGAGCTAGAAACTCCGTGACAACAGGGACATTAGGTGGTGATAAGTGCCAAGCAGGAGGGCAGGGTGAGCTTGTAGAGCATAATGACGGTCCTGTGTTGGATTGGGTTGTCAGGGAGGGCTTTTCAGAGACAACATTGAGCTTACCTGAATGGAAGGAAGCAGAAAACATGGGATATTTGGGAAAGGTTGTATCTGGATGGTGGAGTGAGAAGTTTGACAGTTGAAAAAAAACAATGAGGAAGTCATTGTAGCTGGAGCTAAGAGGAGAGGATCAGAGTGCTAGGAAAGGAGGTCAGAATGATCCTGTAACCCCATTGATTTAATCTTTATGATACATAATTGTAGATAAAATGTCATTCCTGACACCCTTCAGAAATACAAAATTAAGGTAGACTTAGTATTTTTTTAATTACAAGTCATAGCTTTAACTTGGAGTTCTTTATAACAAGCACACAGAAAGTGTGCTACTGACAGCTGTTTCGTGGAGTTAAGGTTCAATGGCCAAGTTTAAGGGCAAAGTAGCTGCAAGACCATCCTCACTTTTAACACCAGTTGCAAGTTTGCAGGGGTTCCTGAACCCACCTCTGATAATTTGTTAATTCTCTGAAAGGTACATTATTACTGTTAATTTCTGTATTACTCTTAGGTAAACATTGCAACTTCAGCAACTTCAAATGTTGAGTATGCCCATATTCCTCATCTCAGCTCCTCTGTAATTCCTACTCTCCAAAATGAGTCATTTCTGTTATCCTCAAATAGTGGGAATCAAGAGGCACTTACAGGATCTGGTACTCCACATATCAATGGGAAACCTGTTTGTGATGAATTTGATCACTTGATCAAAAATATGGCTCAGGTAAGAACATTTCTTCTTGTTATTGTGATAAAATGTTGCAAAAGAGTGTGGTCAGTCCTGGATTATATAGTGGCATTTATAACATCTGAAAAATTTGCAATGAAAAGTTATTTTGTCACAGACTGGTGGTTCAGAGGTTCTTCTATTAAATTTTTCTTTTTTAATTTTCATATTTTAAATTCAGTATTACATGTTGTGTTCCAGAAATATACACGAAAAATAAATGTCCTGTATCTAGGTGATGAGTAAAATTTATCTTAGAAACATTTTCCCGTTTCTTACTTTGTTACTGTAAACAAAGTAATGTCTCTAGTGAGATGACTCTGAACTACAGCAATTAGCTCTTAGTTTTATTTTTTGCTTTGTTTCCTGCACAGGGTCGCCATGTAGAAGTTTTCGAACTCCTCAAACCTTCCTGTGGAGGCCTTGGATTTAGTGTTGTGGGGCTCAGGAGTGAAAACCGGGGACAGCTGGGAATCTTTGTGCAGGAAATACAGGAGGGCAGTGTGGCTCACAGGTGAGACGGTCACAGTGTCTTCTGTGCTTTTGGTGTCACATTCAGAAGGTTTTGATCACCATGGGGGAATTTAGAAAAGCAAAAATGAACGAAAACAAAAACATGTATTAACCAGTTTTTAGAAGTCATTCACATTGCTGTGATAAAAAGCAAGTCCTTTGAAATGAAAGTAGCCCTTAAATAGTTTAATTTACCTACTTTGTAATAAGGAAAGAAAAAATTGATAAGAATATTTTGATTGCTATAAAATGACCTCTTTTTATTTGATTTTAAAGATTGGTGTGTTAGGAGTGGCCCATGGGCTGGGGATTTAGCTCAGTGGTTCTGCCGCCTGCCTCACAAGCACAAAGACCTGAGTTTGATCCCCAGTACAAAAAAAAAAAAAAGAAGTGACCCATGGTAATTTGAACTATATTTTATTAATACACTCCAAGCAATAGTGCATGGATACTTTCATTTTTAAGAACTAAGACCATGTAAAATATATTGGATATATTGAGTGGATAGTTACAAAGAAAAAATAAGCCTTCTAAATGGAGGATTGAGTAAGGATAGCAGTTGTATTACCTTAGCATGTATGTTTAAAAGTAGAACTGCAGGAAAATGCTTAAAAAATGACAACATTTTAAAATAGTATTAAAAGTAACCTGATGTACATGCCAAGAAAGCTGTCTTTTCCATGAGAGCTGCCATGTATCTTTTTTCACCCCATTTTTCATCCTTGGTAGAGATGGAAGACTGAAGGAAACTGACCAGATCCTTGCTATCAATGGACAGGCACTTGACCAGACAATTACACATCAGCAGGCAATCAGCATCCTGCAGAAGGCCAAAGACACTGTCCAGCTAGTCATCGCAAGGGGCTCTGTGCCTCAGGTCAGCAGCCCCAGTGTGTCCCCCACTCCATCTGCAGCCAGCACAATTTCAGCTCATTCTAACCCAGTGAGTGCCTGCAATTTTGAGAAGGAACAGAATATATTTTTTCTAGTTCCTTTTCCTTGTTTCCATGTTTCTAATCTCTGTAGGTGCTTTGTACTTCTTGAATTTTTATCTTTTTATTCTTTTATCTTTACCTAACCTGGAATATTTAATGTTTAATTATGTGTACCTTTATAGCTTCTAAAACAGTCTACTTTCTCGGTATAGTATTATGGCAGCATTTCTCAAAAAAAAAGTAGATCTCTAACAAAATTAAAATTATATTTATCTGTAGACAGATGTAGTCTTGACTTTGCTTTGTAAATTATACAATTATATTGTTACAGTTAGCTTCCAGTGACTTTGAAGTCATCTTAATTTATAATCCTTCCTTGAGGCAGGATTAGACAAAAGACATTTTTGACAGATGACTGTTTTTTCCCCTCGATCTTGTTTCCTTTTCTTTTTTACAAGTTGTATAAAAGATCTTGCAAATATATAAAAAAACAATGTGTTGATGGTCTTAAGAAGGATTATATCAGTAGGAGTAATCATCTATTGAAAGAGAAGTGTACAAAGTGCAAGGGATTCTTTGGTGGTTATTAGCATGTTTGAATTTAATTACTTAACACCAATGAAATAATAATCACAATATCTACTGTAACATAACATTTTAGTGTTTAGTAAGTTTTACAGCCTCATACGGGAGCTTTGTTTTTAGGTTCACTGGCAGCATGTAGAAACTATTGAATTGGTGAACGATGGGTCAGGTCTGGGATTTGGCATCATCGGAGGAAAGGCAGCTGGTGTGATAGTCAAAACCATTCTGCCCGGAGGAGTTGCTGATCAGGTGAGCTGCGCCATTGTCTTCAGTGCTGTTGGACCCAGTAAAATGGCTTTACCTTTTATATTTTCTGTTAGGAAAGTGAAACCTTGGACTTACATAATGGCAAAGAAACTGAGGCAGGATCTTTTTTTTTATTGGACTGTTCTTGTAGAACTGAAGAGGGATGTTAACCCTAAGTTATAGTTACAGACAATTAGCACTCTTTAAAACCACAGCCTAAGCTGAAACCAAGGGTATGGTTTTGATTATTGTAGAGGTAGCTAGCTGCCCTTTGGTTTTGCTCATAGGTTTGAAACCTGCTCCCCTGTTTTATAGTCACCAGGTACTGTGGAGAAATTGTTAAAGGGAAAGAACAGAGCTCAACTTGTCCTTTTAGGGAAGGGTCACAGGTATCATCTTTGTACATGACCTGTAGCCTATTTTTATCACTTAGAATAGTTCATTGAAGAATTATCATTATGTTTAAGATATGTGTGAAAATATGTCATTTATTACATTTATTAGTTATGATTCATGTTTTAAATTAAAAAGTTCTGCTAGTTTAACTGTTGTCTTCATTATAATATTTTATTTATGAAGCTACTTTTTTACATGTGTACTTGAGCTTCACTTTCAAACTCGGGCTCATCAAACATTTCTCATATTCATAAATGAAAGGCTTATTAATGGCAACCTCTTCAGTAGAGGTATTAACAGTAGCACGATAGTTGGCAAATTTTTCTCCTTTAAAATATTAGAGGGACATATAGCAGTATCAAATGAAATTGATAAACTTGAGAAAGAACTCTTATCTGTCTGTGTTTTATCTTCTGTATAGCACTACACTCTCCAGTACTGCTAAATTTTATTTAAATTAATTAAAATTAAATAAAATTACATATTTAGTTCCTTACTTTGACTAGCCACATTTCAAATGTCCTATAGCCAGATGTTACTAGTAACTGCTGTGTTAGAACAACTCCATTATTGCAGAAAGTTTTGTTAGACAGCATTTGTAGAGCCTTATAAGACTGCTTTTCCCACCTCTTATCTGTCTGAATTTTCACCTTACTAGGATTTCATCTGCTAATGCAGTCTTTTGGAATATGTATAATTGAAATAGTCAGGTAGAAAAGCATTGCATTAAAGCAGTGTTATCTTGTAGAGATAGTAACACATTTTAACTACTGTATATTTTATTTGCATGGTGACTTCGTACTTTATCTTTGCTTAATAGCCTTTTTGCTTTCTAGCCCTCAAAAACAGTCATAAAACTTTTTCTTGTAGGTACAAATCAAAATTAAAGTTCCTGTCAGCTAATTTAAGGAGTGTTTGTGAATTTCATTTTTTTTTATATTATACTAGATAATGCTAGAATGGTTTAGAAGGCAGCTAATATTGTAATTACATGTTTAATGTCCCATGATTGCCATAGCAGCATATCACTGCCATCTTTTATTATTTCCTTTTCCTCATTTAGGACTTCTCTGATGCAGTTACATGAACAGTAACCTAACTATTTAGCCTCTTTTTTGTCCAGCATGGACGATTATGCAGTGGAGACCACATTCTAAAGATTGGTGACACTGATTTGGTGGGAATGAGCAGTGAGCAAGTAGCACAAGTCCTGAGGCAATGTGGAAATAGGGTTAAATTGATGATTGCAAGAGGTGCCGTTGAAGAAACTACAACACCCACCTCCCTGGGCATCACCCTCTCCTCCTCATTTTCTACACCAGAGATGCAGGTAAGTAGGTAGAACAATTATTCTGAAAGCCAGAGAAAACAACACTGAGATGATGGCAACATTTATTTAAAAACTAGACTTGTTAGTGTTCATATGTTAGTGTTGATGAACAAAATCAAATGTATGGATGCTTCAGCACTGATAATGTCTTATTAATCTCGAATAATATATACAACAAATGAAATATAGGTTGCTTAAAAATGCTAGATAATGTTACATTTTTCTCTAAGCAGCTCATTTATGAGGTTAAGATTTTGAAATGTGGATATTTTACAAATAATTATTTGTTACACCTAACTAAAGTGCTTAATTATATTTTTTCTCTTAATTAGAAAGCTTTCCATAAGGTCATAGTTCTAATTATTCTCTTTTAACAACTTTCTTTGTAGTCTTTTTGTTTTTGTTTTCCATGTGTAAAGGTTGGAGAGTGGCAACATTTTTAGTAGGAGTAAATACAGCGTAAAAACCTTTCAGTTTTATTGTTTTCAGGTATGTCTAGAGCTCTGATCAGATCTGTATGAACAGTCAATATTCTTGACACAGTTATATAATTTTTTAAAATCAAAAGTTGTGTTATAATAAAAGGTATTATAATAAAAGTTTTATTCATAAGTATAGGATTCTTTGTTCTTAACTTGATGTGAAAATGGTGGAAAATTTCAAAATTATTGGAAGTTAGCTGTCTCACCTGGTTTACAGGTCACAAGACTACTGTGTATAGTATCACCACAATAATTATATCCAGAAACCTCTGAACTATTTAAGAAGAGAATTTCACCCAATTTCTTGTTAAAATTTACACAAGCACAAGTCCTATATACCTCTCACATAGATGCAAAAATTTGTTTTCTTCTATTAAAGTTGTTTTTAACCAGTTGTTACAATATTTTTAATATCCTAACCTCCACTAGCCCTTTAAAATTTTATTAGAATCCTTGAAATTTCCATGATTCTGTTATTTTTGGAATTGAGTTTGCTTGCTATTCTTTGCAAAGAGAAGAAAGAAATCTTGTTTATGAAAGTGTTTAAATGGCATTCTTTTGTGGTAAACAAAACATTTTATTCAGCAATATATAAATGAATGCAATACTGAAAACCACTTGATGTAATTGAAAGCTTAGAAAAATATCTATTCTGTGCATTTCATCATTTCTGAAGCTTGTGCCCCTTTTGAAACCATTCGATAGTCAAATTGCCACCCTCTAAAATAGCACTCGCATAAGTCTTATTAAAAATAGAAAACACATTTGTTTCAATTGAAGCAGATTTCATCCTGTCATTTTCTTGTAATTATCTAAACTTTAAACTTTTGCTAAGTTTGCACAGATAATTATGTGCAATGAAAAATAAATCAAACTTTATTGTAAAATTGTAACTCATTTAGGTGGAACATCAGATATCAGATATACTAAGTTTGTTGAAAGGAAATCAGAAAATATTACCACCTCTCCCCAACCTTTATATCCTTTAGAACTCATTAGCCTTAATTATGGCATGTTCTTCTTAGGGTTCTCTATATAGAATCTGCTGACTTCACACTAATGATTACTACCAGTTGCTTATTGATAACATGCTGTGCCACTTCACGAATGCTTAATTTAGGGACCTTTGCTCTTCAGTCCATACAATTAATAATGCTACATGTTAGAGCTGACATTTGAGAAACCCCCTTCCTGCTATGATTCCAGGAAGGATACTAATGAAGGACACTAATGAAAAAAGACATACTTTTCTTATTAATAGCTTTTCACAGTGACGTCTGAATTTACAAAACAAAGGGCAGTTTAAAACATTTCCTTGATGCATTCTACTGCTTTTCAAAATAATACATCAGTCTATTTATAACAGCTACAAAATAGATCAATTCATATTAATGTATTAAAATAAAGTATAAATGTAAGATAAAATATCAAGTAGGCTTTACATACCACATATTGTTTGAAAGAGGAAACTCTACAACCAGACTATTTAGATTTGAATTCTACTGCTATGATATTTTTAGCTGTTTCTCCTTAGAAAATTTTATGTAATTCATTTTCCCAAAATAATAACTGATATAAATTGCTTCTCAGCCTTTTCACTAAGATCAGGTGTAGTAGATGTTCTTACCAGTTTGATATCTGATACATTCTCTATCCAAGGACAGTGTATTGAATAGAGTTTTAGAGCTGGGGGATGGAACTGGGGCTTGCTCAGTCCACTGCACTCACTGACTTGGTATTGTAGTGCCTCCAGGTGCTGCACTCCCTCCAGGGATCAATGAAAGAAATCCATAAGAGAGCTGTGCCTACCTCACTGGCTTGTGAGGAATCTAAAGCATATTACATTGTTATATGAAGTAAGAGATTAAAACATATCATATGCCTTTCATGTAAGAACTACTCAATACATGGTAGCTGAACTGGTTGTTTTTATTCTTTTCCTGATAGACAGTTGTACAAAAATGCTTAAAACAAGTTAGTGGCAAAGCTAGATTTGAACTTGTTGATTTGAATTCAAAACTTGAGTTCTTGCAATGACAACATCCTGAATCCTTCAGAAATTAAGATAAACCAACCCTGAAAACAATTTAATAAGAAAATATTTAATTTTTAAAACACTGAGTATGCAAACAATAATGTATCCCTCCTATAAAGGGAAGTTCAGCCTTATTCTTGACATTCCTTTCTGAGCAAAAGTGTGATGCTGAGTCCATGTTGCTACCACCAAAGAGGTACTCTTGACTGTAATTCTCTGAGTTCTCTGACACCTTATTATGTCACATTACTCTGAATAAAAGCTCTGGCTTTTTAAATTTACCTTGTTTTTAATGTTTATTTCTCTGTATATTATGTATATTTATTGTACATATGTATTTATTGACTTATATTTATGTATTTATATAAGAATTATTGATTTTATTTCATTGTGTATATATTTATTGATTTTATTTCAGGTTGATGCTTCTACTCAGAAAAGTGAAGAAAGTGAAACATTTGATGTGGAACTCACTAAAAATGTTCAAGGATTAGGAATTACTATTGCTGGTTATATTGGAGATAAAAAATTAGGTAAAGTAAACTTTCAATATTTTTTAAACATGATAGTTGCTTCTGTTATCTATCTTATGAAATATTGAATCAGCATTGCATATTCTGAAGTTTCAGGATAAGCTAGCTGAAAATTTTCTTAGAAATAAGTCAGTGTAGGTGACTAATGACAGACAACAATTGTCTTATCTTTTGCTGCAGTTTTTTTTTGTGTGGCTTGTTGATATATATTTTTCTCAGTTAGGGCTTGTTTTTTCAAGAGTGGAGGATAGATTCTTTAAATGTGTTATGTAAGTCATGAAAAATAACCTGTTTCTAATCTTAGAACCATCAGGAATTTTTGTAAAGAGCATTACAAAAAGCAGTGCTGTTGAACATGATGGAAGAATCCAAATTGGAGACCAAATTATAGCAGTAAGTTACATATTTAATAATAGTGTTATAGATTTTCATGTTTGAGAATTGTATTCTTCTAGTTTACTTATTTTTGAGAAATACAGTTAACTGTTAATTTAATCTTGTTTTGGACTTGAGACTATCAACACACCAACCCTTTTTATTATTTCAAGGAAGCAAAATAAAGCATTGGATGAAAGCTTTACTAATCTCAATTCTAAAGGAGAAATTTCTTCTTGAATAATATCTATTAGATTTCTGATTGCAATAAATTTGTTATATTAATATTATAGCAATACTTATAGGCACTCCAAAGGTAAAGACCAGATGTTGTGACTTTCTGGTATGCCTGAATCTGAATTTGTGATGCATGCATTTTTTTTTAGTCAGAATGATACTGTAACTGTTGACTCCATGGCCAGAGTTCCTTTCAGCCCAAAGGATACCCAAAATAAAAGAAATAGATCCAGCTACACTTCTTAAATTAACTCATCCTATTATTGAGTATATGGCTGTTTCAGGGAGAGCCTGAAAGAATCCAACCTTCAGTTCACTGTTTAGTGGAAACTAGGCTGTTCAACCTACTCCCTGAAACACAGATTCAAAGAAATCCTGGCCAAGTGCTTTCTGGTTAAATATGGTCAGGAAAAACTGTGTATAGTATGGTTTCTGAGAGACTCATAATGCATATTGAAAAACTGAAGACTGAGAATTCCTTCAGTAATCTGTTTACCTCTTTTACCTCAGTTTTTTTACCCAAGCTTTTGTAATTGTGAAGTCTTCTCTTCCCAAATATATATTAATATTCTTTGAAGACATCTTGGGGAATGCTTCTTTAATGGGTATTTGTTATTGTTAACTGTCTCTGCTGTTCCTTTGGAATCTTAATATTAGTAAGAAGATAGAGTATTAAGATGAACAAGTCCGGGCTGGGGATTTAGCTCAGTGGTTTTGCCGCCTGCTGTGCACATGCAAGGACCCAAGTTTGATCCCTGGTACCAAAAAAAAAACAAAACAAAACATGAACAAGTCCTTAGTCATAGCAATGTTGTGTGCAATAGCCAACTCACAGAAGCAACCTAGATAGATGAATGGATGAATGAAATGTGGTTTATGTTCATGTAATGCAATGCTCTTCAATCTTTAAAAAGAAAAATAATATCATATACTACTGTGTGGATGCATGTGGAGGCCATGATGCTTAGTGAAGCAAGCTAGTCATAGAAAGACAAATACTGTATATTAAACGAGGTATCTAAACTAGTCAGACTTGAGAGAAACAAAAGGTAGAATGTTGGTTACCAGGAGCAGGAGAGAAGTGAATGTGGAGTTGTTTAGTGGGATAGTGACTCAGTTTCCAAGATGGAAAAGATCTGAAAGTGTGTTACACAACAATGTAAATATACCTTACTGAACTGTACCTTTAAAAGTAATTAAAAGAGTAAATTTTATGTTGTGTGGTTTTTTTTAACCACAATTTTTTTAAAAAAGGTAGCCGAGTTCCTTATTTCTGCCTCTTAAGGTCCATTGGATCTCCATGAGACTTCCTGGGTTTAGTGCCGTGAAACTCCTACTTACTGCTCATCTCTTGAAGTCCACTTAGAACACCACATTGATCTTGCACCCAGTCTGGTTATCTGCTGGAATGAGCTTCCTCAGTATATCTGCATTTTATTATGCAGTGAAAATTAACGACTGTATTTTTTTTTAATTTGGGGAAAAGGGAGGAAGAAAGAATAAATAGCTGTAGAATTGGAATGTATACATGAGTCTGAGTTAAAAATTAAAAACAGCTAATTTATTGTTTTTCTTTAACTATCTTTGTTCATTAGAAAACTTTTTTAAAGATGTAGCTTTAATGAGATATCATTACAGTACAGTTTACCCATCTAAAGCTTATAATTCATTGACTTTACTGTATTCACAGTGTTAGACATTCAATACTATAATTAATTTTAGGACATTTTCATTACTCTAAAAAGAAACCTCATATTCAGTAGCAGTCAGCTCCTAACTCCCCTACCTTCCATTCCTAAGCATTCCTTAATCTACTGTTGGTCTCTTCTGTACATTTGTCTGTTCTGGAACATTTCATGTAAATGCAGTCATTGAAGACTTTTATGATTTACTTCTTTCACTTAGCATGTTTTCAAGATTCGTTTATGTTGTAGCATGTATCTGTTCTTCATTTTCCTTTATTGCCATTTTCCCAGGCATCCGTCGATGAATGCTACAGTTGCATTGTTTTTACTTTTTGTCTGTCATGGACAACACGACTGTAAACATTCATGTACAAGGTTTTATGTGGATTTATGTTTTCATTTCTCTTTGTTATATACTGAGGAGTAGAAGTGCTGAATCTTATGATTATTTTATATTTAACTGTTCAGCAAACCACCAAATTTGGGATAAGGAAACTTCCTTTGTATGATTTCTAGGAGAATCAAATCACATCTTTATTTAAAATATCTGGTATAAAATACACAAATACATTTTGATTAATTCAGGAGATATTTATCGAGGGCCTGAAATGATTATATACTTGAAAAAGTCTCAAAATGCTTCCCCCTAAACTTGTCACTATCTTCATTTTATGTAAGTGGAATCTCAAGTATAATTCCTCTTAAGCAAGTCAGTGATAAAAGAAATGGTTACCTCAAAATATAGAAGTAATCTTCTTGCTTTCAATAAAATTATCCTTCACTGTTGGCAAGGTTTTGAATTTTTTTTTTTTTTTTTTGGTATCGGGGATTGAACTTGGGTCAGCCCAAGGTTTTGATTTTTGATGTTTAATTTTTAGCAGCATGCTTTTACCTCAAAGTGAAAAGTACCTCAATCTGCTGGAGAACATTATACAATGCTTTTGTTCCTGCATTAATTTTGTGAAAAATGCCACCATCTTGTGGACTTTTAATATATTGATAGCAAAGTGCTCCACATCCAGTTGCATTTTCACAACTGTAGTCTTTTTGTCTATTCTTTTGACAACAGCTATCGAAGGCTACAGTCTATTTTTATTTTTTAATTGTGTGCTGAGAAGATTAAGAAATAATTTCTTATTATTTTGAAGAAATGTTATTTTTGCAATTTAAAACTTTTTTTTTTTTTTTTGACAAATTGTGTTCTGTGGATCCTAGAGTTCCACTATAGCATTTCAGGGCAGAAAGTGAGAGAATGGTTCTATCCCCACTGCCTCCACTTACCTTTTCAGATGTTGGTATTCTGGGTCAGATGTTTGACAAAGGACTCATTTTTTCAAATAGTTATCCAAACTTGTCAATAAAGTCATATACCTATTCTTTTTAGTTAAGTAGTCGATGATTCATGCTGAAATCAGTAAAGAATTGATTGATAAAAAATTTCTTAAAAGCACATAAATAAGAAAGTGTCACATGTTGCCTTTGCTGTTCTGTGATTTTGTTAATAGGTTCAGGCTGTCTATGAATAGGAATGGGCCATGGTGGAGAGGGCTGGGGAAGTTACATGGAGTGTGCTAAGAAGCCAGGTTTGTGAGTTGTGCCAACTAGCTTTTCTTCCCTATAACTGTTCTGTTAATTGTGGTATTGGCTGTGCCCATTAGAAAAGTGATATTTGGCCTCCTTTTGTGAGATAGAAAAGCACTCTGCTATCATCACACCTAGTTCCAGTGTACTCTTTTCATAGTATCATTGAGTCTGAACTGACCTCTTAAATGTTCTTAGGATCAAAAGGCTCCAGAGCTAACTGCGACTCCCAACTGAGGTCTTGATGACTGTGGCTCACATGCAGCATGGATGTGCAGATGCTGAACAGAAGCCTTGGGGTTTCCACATTTATAACTTTTCATTCTCTTGCTAATCCAGCTCCTTAGTATCCCAGTACAAAGTGCCATGCATTGTGATTCTGAGAAAGTGGGTATTATTTCCACATTATAGATGAAGATATTGTGAAATTGGAGCTGAAGTCTAGTTTAAATAGTTCATGACTATTTCCTGATGGGACTTTTTTTAGTGATAGTATCATCTTCTGACATTTGGGTAAGGAATGTATTTTAAAATCTATGTTACTAAGTTTTAAAAATAAAGAAAACATGTTTTTCTTTACATAGTAGACTCTTACTGTTAATAGGTAAAAAAATCATACACATATTTTTCTTAATGAAACTATTTAACATGTTGGATGATGAAAACCTATTGCAGATAAAATCTTTGCAGCCTAAAGCTCCATGCATTTTAAAGAATTTTCATAGAACCTCCATGCAGAGATCTTTGACCCTTTTTTCTTTATTAGCATAAGAGTAAATAACATGTTCATTTATTTTAGGTTTTGCCTTTTAGGTTAAAGAATATAAAATTTGAACATGTTGCTTTGCCTTTTAGGTTAAAGAATATAAAATTTGAACATGTTGCAGTAAAATTCAGAAATTTTCCATATAATTATTTAAATAGTGTTATGTTCATTGATAACTTTTTAGTTTTTACTTCACTAAAATATATAGCTGGAGGTGTATTCATAGAAGCAAATGTGGATCTACTGTGATATATTTAAGCAGGCTTATTCCTAGACAGTTATATTGCTTACAGTTGCTTTTTGTTTTAAACAGTTTATTACATACCATTTTATATATTTTCTCTTTTAAGGACTATGATTTGAAATGCTTGAGTTCAGTTTTGTTGTAATAGTATTATTTAGATTTAAATTTTACTAACATTTTGCTTAGTAGTCGATCTCATATGCCACAGTTTCTTACATGAATTTGGATTACTGTATCATTCAGTTGGTGTTTAAATTTTACAGAAAAGAGTGAGTCTGAGCTTTCCGTGTCTGAGAACCACTTCAGTTGCAGGGTGGGGGGCATCTTGGCTTTGACAGTACTGGTACTGCTGCAAGAGGGCTTTGTGCTTAGTGCCCAGGGCTGTGGTTAGAGTCATTACCCAGTTCCTTCTTGGGTTGCTGGAAGAACCCAGTGGAGATATTTGACCAACTTTCCATCGGCTCTTCTTTCTTGTGCTTCAGTTGTCAACAGTCTGTTACATGGAAGTTCTCTCTCGAGTCCCGTCATTCCCAGGGCAGTTGGCTAGGTTTCAGGCAGACTTGAACCACGAGTGTGGCCTTCCCTTGGTCTGTTCCCACACAAAGGGATGTGAGTGGATCCCAGCCTAACAGCACTTTTCTCTAGCAACCAAATAACCTTTTCTTGCCCTTCTGATGGAGTTAAAACAGAATCCCTTTTCGTTGTTGTTTTTTTGGTACCAGTGATCGAACTTGGGTCCTTGCGCTTGTGAGGCAGGTGGCAGAATCACTGAACTAAGTCCCGGCCCCAGAATCCCTTTTCTGCTACAGGTGATGCAGCTTTTCTGACTAGAATCAAGGGGAAGATACCCTACTGGGTGGGCTAGGGACTTGCAGGGCTGTTTCTGCTCTGCCTGACCCACCCTTGTTCCTTCCCCTCCCCACCCTCCCCTCCTTCCCCCTTCTGTCCTCTCCTCTCCCTCCCCCTCCTCTTCCAAATTCTCCTCTTCTTAAATTTTCCTAAGCTTTAACAACCCAGTCTTTTTATGTTCTAAATGTGTGAATTGTAGTTCTTTACCACCTAGTTAAAATGTCTGTGATTGGCCCCTTTTACAAATTATTTTGGTATATGATCTCAGTATTCTTAGCATTTCAGCCACAGTTTACATTTTCTCACACATTGCACAGAGTATAAAACTAGATTCATAATTTCTTTACTACAGTTCTTTACTGTGCTCTCTCTGCTGGATGGAGGTTAATAGATTTTTTTTTTTCTTTTGGTCTTCAGAATGTAGAATTTTACCAGGATACATCTAGGTGTTAATTTTTTTCTATTTATTTTCTGGTTTTTCATGTCCCTCTTTGACTTACAGTCTTGGATAAGTTTCCTTCCCCCAGTTTTCTCCATTTTTCCCTAATTTTTTTTCTCTTCTAGTAATTCCTTTCATAAATATATTGGATTTCCAAGAGCAGCCTATGTGTCTCCAGTCTTATTTTACTGAAAAGTTTTATTCTGAGATATGGGAAAATCATATAATCCTGCGTTCCATTTCCTGACTTTGTTTTTATAGTATTTAAAACCTTGTGGATTTGTCTTTCACCCCTCAGCCCTGGCTTTTTTAGCCCCTGCTTTTTTTTTTTTTGTACCAGTGATCAAACTCAGGACCTTGCACTTGCGAGGCAGGTGCCAGAAACACTGAGCTAAATGCCCGGCTCCCCACTTTTTGATAGATACTTATTTCTTTGTAAGTATAATCTTTACTGCTATACGTACAATGAAACGTTAATCATTTTTGAAAAAAATTTCAGGAAATAACTTTTTTTTTCTGTTCACTGAAATAGTGTTTCATAAGATACTTGTACTGATGCTTCTCTGGTATTTTATTCCATATCTTGTGATCTTTCTTCATTCTTACAAACAGCTTTACATGTACAAATGGGATTTGAGATGGGTTCTACTAGAATGTGTGCATTTTATGTAGTTGACTGAGGAACTGATAGAATGATATAGGCTACTGAGTGGTCCTCAGTGGGTGTGGCCTGCAAGCTTGGTGTATTTTTTAGGGTCACTGTTGAGAAGCTGCATGTATCACCTGACCACATCCGCTTAGTGTTGTTTGAGATTTACTGAAGTTTCTTCTCAAAGACCAGACCAGCTGTTCCTGCATATATAGATTCAGCTGGCCTGCCTTTAATCCAGTCATGCCCAGGCCATTTCTAGTAGAAACTTCTCCGGTTATTGGAATAGGGACATTCGTTTTTCATTCATTCCCAAAGATTGTTTGGTAATATTTTCTCCATTATATAATTTGTTAGTCTTTCCAGAAGGGAGCCAGCAGTGGAATGAAGGGAGGAAAAAGACAGACGACACTGTTCAAGTCTCTCTCTAGCTCATAAGAACCATACAAGATTTATAGGACCACAAAGTGTCAGATCATAATCTAGGTCCAGCTTTGTAGATTTTTGCTTTAATATCCCTATTTGTAAAAATAATTAACTACTCATTGTTTGCTTTTTCCTCCCTTCTATGTATTAAAATATGTTGTTATACTGTATATTGATATATTATTAATATAGATATTATGTATGTCTATATATGTGTGTATACATGTGTATTCATATATAAAACAAATGAATTTTTAAGTGTTTAATTAGAAGCTTTATTATATTCTTCCAGAAACCTCTGTAGTAAGGGTTCTTTATCTTCTTGAAAAACACTGATCTAGAGCTCATACTTCTCATTCATTTAGTAAACATTTGGGTGCCCAGTGTGGCTAGCCTTGTGTTTATAAAAGCTATGACACACAGCCATTGTATATCCATTTCAGATTCAAGAGGATTATTATTGAATGTGACTTTCAACCTCAAATTTATCGTTCTACTTTTCTAAGCTTTTACTTTTCTACTTTTTTACTGTGACTCATGAATTTTATAAAAGTGATATTATAGTCTGTATTTTTTTAATCTACCCCTAAAGGTGATTTTCTTTCCAAATAAGTTTTTGACTTATGATCCAATGGCTCCATAATCCCATTTGGGGTGAATGTCTACTGTGTGGCTAATACCATGTTTTAGTGACACTGTTAAAAGCAGAAGTGTCTTGGAGCCCATTCTTGGAGCATGCAGTTGTAAACCACATCATAACAGGAAATATGCACTTGAAATCCTGAGAAGCATTATGAGGAGGAATGGGTGAAAGGAATCTTATGAGCAGAGATATTAAAGTAGCTATGAAAGTAACTTGAGAATTAAGGTTTAAAGCAATCCACGGGGTGTTCTCTTGGTGAGGTGATGAGACAGAGCATGGGCTGGAGTGCACTAATGGCCATATGTATCATTGACCACATCCTTTTAATGTTGTGTGGGATTTGCTGAAGTTTGAGCACAGTTGGATGGCCATTCTAAGCCATTTTGGGGTTTGAAACATTGTCCTAAGCAGTATTCTATAGAATAAATGGTTGGGATGATGTAATATCATGCTGATGTTGTGAAAAGACCATGGAGCCATTTTCAAGTATGTTTTTATTTGTGAATCAGAAAAGGAGGAAAATATATATATAAAAGGAAGGTATTTATATCATCTTTTTAAGGAAGGATAAATGTGTTTTAGGGATACATCGGTACTCACAGTGAATGCTTTTCCTCACTACCTTCTCCACATTTATATCCTTCGTGTACTGGTTTCCAAATTTGATTGTGCCTCAGGATCACTCAATGAATATAAAAGAACATTTTAAAAGTTATAGATGCCTGGGTCCACCCTAAAATTATTGGCTCACTATTTCTAGACATGTTGCCTCTGAATCCATATTAGAACAAACAAGCCCTCTCAAGAGATCCTAGCGCACCTAAATTAATACTCGTTCTCTATAAACAACTGTTAGTGTATTATTGTCTATCCCCCCACGTAGAGAAATACTTATTCCCATTTTTCATAGTAATAAGGAGCAAATATGTACTTGAGTTAGTGAACAGATACCCATTTATCCTTTAAAATGTCTTTTTCACAGGTAGACGGCATCAACCTTCAAGGGTTTACCAATCAGCAAGCAGTGGAGGTGTTGAGACACACAGGACAGACTGTGTGCCTGACACTCATGAGGAGAGGAATGAAGCAGGAGACAGAGCCCCTGTGCCGAGGGGACATCATGAAAGACGCAGATGTGTCTCTGGCTAATGCCAGCATGAGCAGAGGTACTACCACATTAATCTGATGTTTGGTTAGACCTTTGCACTATGTAGATTTTTTTTTTCTAATTCTAAAATAAAGAATGGTTTTTATCCTGAGCTATTTATGATAAACCAAGTAAAAAGAGGAGGTTTAATAAAGTGAAATTGACTAGAACTGGCAGTGAGTCCATAAACTATATAATGGGTTTTTGAATAGAGCAGATTTCTTTCTGTTTGTCCATTCCATCACCATTCCTCAGTTATAATCCTGCAGAGTCATGTACCGTTGTACCTCTGCATCATCTACCTTTCTGTCTGGCCTTCCCTTTGCACGTCATCCCAGTGATCTCATTATGGGGGATGCAGTGCTACTGGAATTATTTCTGTGAGCCCATGCTGGCTAAATAATAAATAATGAATTCCTTGAAGGAGTCAACTTGAATTCTACATTTAGAAATGCCATGCCATTCATAAGCTGTTGCTACCTCAAAATCTCTGCAAATTACTGATGTCCCGCATAGCTTGCTGCCAAAAGAGCTCAATGTTGTGTCAGGCCGTGTCTGAAAAGTGCTATTTCATTTGGAAAGCTAGTAACTGTTGTGGAGTTTATGCTTTATACTGCTTCCTGCAGTCCTAGGAGATGGAGAAGCGGGTCACAGAAGAACATTTGTCCATTTACAAGAGCGCTTTCCTTTATACACGGTTACTATGGAATTTAGCTCCCCAAAACAGACTTTCTTTTGGGGGTTCAAGTTAACTACAGTGGGTTTGAAAATTCAAGTGCTTGATGAAATTACTGAAGTAACTATTAAAATGTTTTTATCTTTAAGAAAATTATGAAAAAGATGAAGATTCTTTATCTTTGAGGAGAAATATTAGCATGTTACCAATTGAAGAAGAAGGTAAACATTTTAGAGAAGGCTATGATGTACTTTGTTATATTTTTAATGAAATTATTTTTACAAATGAAATTAAACTTTTATGGATAATACTGTAAGTTACTGAAGTCTTCTAAAAAGTAAAGGTTTTAAATCCCTATTTATACAGGTAGATATAATTGCTCTCATAGATTAAAATAGTTCATTTACAGCTGGTATATTTTGCTGAATTGGTCTATTTTTTCTTCTACTTTTTTTATCGGGAGACTTTAGGATTCAATTGGTGATATGTGTATAGTCTAAACTTAATCCTTTTGTTTCTGTATAGCTGACATGTCTACTTTATTGAGCAAACAATAATAAAATGATAAAATACGGTATTTAAAGTAAACATAGACAAGTCTTTCTAAGTTCATGTGAAGGAAACTATCTGATTCTGGAAGGCTGGTTTTCCCTTTTCAGCTTTTTTAAAGGTTCTGAATTTTAACTTTGGGAAGGTGGTTTGGAAAATAATTGTACTGAGATATTATCAAACTTTTCTGAAAATTCTTTCATCAAGCTCCTTAAACGTTTTTGTAACAGCCTTATTCCATGGCCATTGTGCTGCAGTAGTGCTGCCCTCTCTATTCCATGTGTCTTGTTCTCCTTGTACCTGTCTCTTATTTTGGCGCTCTGCTGACTTAAATCCACTGAACAAAGTCCAAGACTGAGCTTCTTCCCTTTGTGTGAATTCTACCCTTTATTAAAATTCATGTCTTTAACATATCTTCCCCCTTCATTACAATTTTTATGCTGAAAATCTTTATTTCTTTTTATTATTTTAAATGGCATTTATGTTTGTTAAGGATATCGTATAAGGCATATAAGGGAGATGTGTAGGATTCACAGATATTAATCATATTCTGCCATTTTTATAGTAATGGGTAAAGAAATTATTTAGACTAAGCTAAATAACAAGAATAGAAAAACAGAATAAAAATGTTCAGAGCATGGAATTGACGTAGTAAGTGGAAATGGGTGTTGGGCTATCTTGAAGGCTCAGGACCATCTATTTTGCTCTAGTGAAGACAACTAATGAGAAATTTATGTGTGTATTTGAGGAGGGGATACTCAATACTTATAATCAGGAGTCCCAGGATCTCTTTGAAACAAAATAAAGCAGAACTTTGTGATTCTTACGCATCTCATTTTATACAAGTCCTCGACACGGTGTAAGGTGTCACTGGTCCTTCCACAGAAATTTGCCTCATTGCACAAGCCTGGACGTGTCATTTGATTTCTCAGGAAGGTCAGCGGACTGGTCTCAGTCTCGGTCTCTCTCTGTCTCCTTCACTCCTCAGGTTTATTGAAATTATAATATCTTTATGCAGTCTCTTTTGGTGAAAAAAGAGATCATTTTCTTAACCTAGGAGATACCAAGTCTGCAGAATATACCTGCAGTGAGAGCTCTTCAGTTTCTACCAAATGTAGGCAGATAAGAAATGTGGATTTTGGAGTACTCTTTAAATTTGAAATTTGAATGCTAAAATTAATTTAGAGAATACTGCTTAATAGAGATTTTTTAAAAGGCAAACCGTTATGAATAAGAACCATGATGAAATACAGAAATAATTGACTATGAACTTGTAATTCTTCCAGGCAGTTCCTAGTTTTAGCTAAGCATTTTAAATTCAACATCATTTATGCAGCTTGATGATACTCTTTTTTTTTAAATTTTGGTTTCTCTTTTTGCCAATTAGTGAGATTCTATTTATAGGCTTTTGAGTATAATCTCAGTATTTGTTTCTTTTGATTTATATTTTCTTTTTGTATGTGGAATTGTGTATATTATTTTAAAATTTCTCTTTGTTAAGTAATAACAGAACCCTTTTTTTCCTGAAGTAGTATGTGGCAATTAGAGAGAACTTAACCTAGAGGTGACATGGCTTTTTACCAGAGCCTCCAAAGGACCACCCAGTGACTCCTGGTGATAACCAGAGAGCCCACTTTTTTACATAAAAGTTAGATAATAAATAGCTACTTGAATGGAAGTATACTTAAGATTTAAAAGATATTTATTGAAAGAGATTATAGTTCTAACTTAAATGATCACAATAAGTGTAGAAATAAGAGTGACATCTCTGGGGTGAAGACTATGACTGCCCACAGCACACAGGCTGTGACCACTGTATCTGGCAGAGAGGATTCAGATGTGGGGAGTTCTGTAGTTTGTCCCTAAATGTCTGACCATTCTAGGGCATCCGGTGCTCTCAGGTGAGGGACAAGAAACTGAAGATGCAGGAGAAGCTGCGATGCTGACCAAGTGGCAGAGGGTCATGGGAATTAACTATGAAATAGTGGTAAGTTGGTCTATCCTCCCTAATTTTCTAACTTGTCCTTGTATTTGAGCGTGAAGTTAATGATAATAAGAAAAGTAATCATCAGAAAGAGTCCCCAAGAATTAGTGAATATCCAGTGGGTTTTTTTTTTTTTTTAAAGATCAAAATTCCTAATCCAGGTACTGAAAAACTCAGGAGAATGTTACATGGTAACCAAGGAGCTGAAATTAATGGAATGCAAGTTTTAGAACTTATATTTCGTCATTATTTTAATATTTCTATTAGCATAAGTAATATAAACACAAGTATTTTTCTAATTCTTAAACCTATGATTTATAAAAAGAATCAAAATAGAGTGACAGTGTTTACTTAAAAATAAGACAAAACGCATCATGACCTGCGTACAGAATTGTAGAACATGTTTTCTTCTCACCTTTTTCACTCTCATGTATTAAGAAATTATTTCAGAATACTCTTTTCATTTCACATACAGCATGCTGAATGTTTTATAACATAAAACAGTTTGTATATCTAGTCAAACTATCATGATTTGCTATCCTAAAAAGAAATTTAACAAAGTTGACCCAAATTATTAACCTCTAGATATATACCAAAATATTTTAGGAATTTCAAAAGGAAAAATAAAACACTGTGTTGGATAGAATTTTTTGTATTGCTTAATTTATTTGTTTCAGAACAGATAAAGGACAACAGCTACTAACATACAATATTAATAATTAACACTGACCAAGCCCTTCTTTACTATGCAGTATTCTTTTAATTTTCATAACAGTGATCTTTTACGCATTTAAGATAGTTAACCTTCAAAGGAGAATTAAGTAAGTAGAGCTGTTATTGCCATTTTAAATTGAGTTAAGGAAAAATGCCCTAAGGTCCAGCTCAAAGCTGATTAATTTAGCATGTACTTGTATGGGGCAGGTTGAAAATGGCTGGCATGTGTAACTAAGACTGGTTCTCTAAGTGGTGATTGAATAATGAAGGGCATTCTTCTTTAGCCATTTTGTCACAGACTTCAGAACTAACCCTGAACTTCTCTGTCCTTTGCACCTGATTCTGTCGGTGGTACTCCTGGTAGCCTGCCAAGAGCAGAAGTGATCTCTAAGAGAGAAGGAAGTTATTCATGGGGCTTGGTCAGACAAAGATAAATGAGACCTTGGTCTGACTTCACATTATGTGATACTAGTTGTGCTGTATAAATGAAATAGTGGAGAATGCTAAAGCAGAGAGAGGGACTGATGAACATTATCAGGGGGGTCCTGGTAGGCTTCTCAGAGGATGTAATCTCTAAGGTAGGTTTCAGGGGCAAGAAGAATTCATTCAGCATTCAATTTAGAAATGAGATGATTTTGCTTCTTATAGCCAGGGATTTAGCTCAGTGGTTTTGCCTCCTGCTGCACAAGCTCAAGGACCCGAGTTTGATCTCCGGTACTAAAAAAAAAAACCTCACGTGAGATTTTGCTTCTGATAGTGACATTACAAAAATTACCAATAAGATGTGAAAGAACTTTTTGGGGGGATACTGGGGATCGAACTCAGGACCTTGCACTTGCAAGGCAGGCACAGTGTCACTGAACTAAATCCCTGCCCTGAAAGAACTCTTTTTAAGGAAACAGCCTTTTCTCAGTTTTTTATCTATTTCATTAAATTTGGAATAAAAGATTGAAGTTGATCATCTTTAGCATATATACTGATTTTAATATAAATATTGGATTCTGTGCAAAAATAGGTACTTTCCTAACATTATTTATTAGTGAGCATAACTGTAAGAAGCTTTTATTCACTTTTAATGATCATTGTTTTCCCTCAGTACAACATAGTGTCAGGCAGGTTGTAGAGTCGGATTGTCTAATACCCCCTTTCTACCTGGAAAGCTATGGTTAAATTAACCTCTTTGAGTCTCATTTTACCTTTTAAATACAAGGAGAGAAATTGTATCTGTGTATGAAAAGCAAATGAGATAATTATGAAATGAGATCAGCATAGTCCTTGGCACCTGGTACTAAGTGCTAAGTATGTGTCTTTTTTATACTCTTTTTGGGGCTAAGGGTTTAAAGAAGTTCTAATGGCCTTCCATCTATTATGAGCATCTATACACACTGAAAAACATCTTGGGTGATTGCAGCTGGCTGCTTCTCTGGTATTTTTGATTCAGAAAACCAATAGACATCAGTACTATATCAAAGGGAAAGCTCCAAAGCTTTGCAGGATTACAATATGGTTTTTGAAGCTTTTGTTACAAAACTGAAAATTTTGAGGTGAACATAAAATATATGCACAAGTAGAGCAACAGGAAGAATATAGTAAAATTGTGATATTATTTTTCCCTTTCAGGTGGCTCATGTGAGCAAGTTTAGTGAGAACAGTGGACTGGGGATAAGTCTGGAAGCAACAGTGGGACATCACTTTATTCGGTCTGTTCTGCCAGAAGGTCCTGTTGGACACAGTGGGAAGCTCTTCAGTGGAGATGAGCTCTTGGAAGTATGGAACTGTGCTTTTCTTTCTCTTCCATAAATGAGACTGAAAAGGCTGCAATATGGTTGATTTGTAAGGTCTTATTTTACACCCCCCCCCAGAATAATTGAGATCTATTTAAATCCACTCAAAGCAAAAATTTCAAATCTATATGAACATGGAGCTTCAGACCTTAATTTATTTTGGTTTTTGTTTTGCTTCAGGTACAAAGAATTTACAATACTTTTTTGAAGTTTTAGAAATAAATTTAATTTTTAGAATAGGTAACCTAGATCTCAACAGAGAATGTAAAGATAAACACTGAAAAGTGTCTCCCCAGCCCTTCTATAAAAATTTTATTTTGAAATACGTTTTTGCTAAGTCACTTAGACTGGGTTTGAACTTGAGATAGTCCTGCCTCACTCTCCGACGGTGCTGAGATTATAGGCCTGTGTCACCATACCAGGTGGTGCCATTTTCCATTTTTAACTTAATAAATGTCAGTTTGTTCATTAACAATGTCAATTTTAATGACTTTTCTCCTTTATCCTTTGTGGATATTTTCGTTAACTTGCCTTTTCCAGACTCCTACACTGCAGATCAAATATAGATGAAACCTAATAGTTTTTCATAGAGTTCTTTAAAAGCTCCAGTTACAGTAAAACTCTAAATTTGTGCATAAATTGCTTGAGATAGTATTTCCATAGGTCTAACTATAGTTCTGGGCATTGCAGAACTATGGTGATCACCAGAGTAGAATTTGTATTTATTTAATTTAAAAAAGTGTTTTCAGAAGAATATTCATATTATTAAGTGTTTTTCTTACTTGGCTAATACATCTTGTTTTATAGGTGAATAACATAACTTTGCTTGGGGAAAATCATCAAGATGTGGTCAATATTTTAAAAGAATTGCCTATAGAAGTGACAATGGTATGCTGTCGTCGAACTGTGCCTCCCATCACCCAGTCAGAATTGGACGGCCTGGACTTAAGTGACATTGAGCTAACAGAAAAGGTATAAAACTTAGGAGGCTCATCTGAATATATAATTGAAAGTATGTATTGTTCTAAAAGTGAAACCTGTATTTCTTGTCGTGGATATTTGATTTCCTCACGTATCCTGTGATTAGAGGGTAGATCTTGAAGTCAGACAGACCTGGGTTTGAATCACAATTGATACTCACTAGCTGTGACACCTTGGGAAAAAGTTGTTTCATCTTTTTGTGTTTCATTTTTCTATAAAATTTGTCATGACACTTGCCTCAAAGAGTTACTCAGGATGCTAATAAAAACTATAATATTAGATATTATCACATAGGCATTTGTACAATTTACTTGCAGTATTTCTAGATGCTCATATATCTCCATTTACAGAAGAAAAATCTGAAGTATATAAATAGTATATATGTAGTACACACTTGGAAAAACATGCTTTTATATCAATTCCGTGCCTGGCACAGGAGTAGCTAAAATACAAGTGGACAGATCATTTCAGTATGTAGAGGTCTTACTTATTTGCACACTGTAGTTTTATTTATTTATTTATTTATTTTTGGTATCGGAGATCTAACTCGGGACCTCTCACTTGCAAGGCAGGCACTGGAACCACTGAGCTAAATCCCCAGCCCAACACACTGTAGTTTTAAAATAAGAAATTTGAGCTCATAATATATGTCAAATAATTCTCTGTAACATCCAGATACACTCATTTTCCTATCTGCTTTTCTTTTCCATTCAGATCAAAATGTCAAGTGATGTTGCTAATCAGCCTTTTGGAGGATGCACAGTACATTTCTAAAGTTAAGAGTTGGGCTCTGCATAATTTATAGCCTCACTAAATCTCATTTAAAATATACTGAGAGATAATGTTGGAATTTGACTTACATTATACTGAAGTAATCAGTATAGTGGAATAATTTTGAAAACTTTGAAGAATAAAGTTAATAATTTAATATTCCCATAGGTGACTCCAGTAGGGTAGTAGGAAACATAACTCCAAATCATGCATAGCTCAAAGGCAAGAATCATTTTAATGTGGTATAAGTGAGATAATCACGATAAAGCAGGTGGAGAGAGTTGTATCCATGGTCCTAGGTTGTCCAATAATTGATTTAAAACAAAGATAGTATACAAATTAGAATTTCATCCTCATCAACACATTTTTCTTAAGTTTAATATGTTTATACATGCACATGAAGTTGAATTAATTTATATTCACTTTATTTTTACTGAAAGAAGTTAACTTTTTGAATTTTAATTTCTGTATTAAGTGCTTTATAAATGTTACTTCATTTGATCCTCAGAAATTTAAATTTCTATGAAATGAGTAACTTTGAAGCCCATGTTAAGAATATTGTTCAAGGTAGGGTTGGGAATTTAGCTCAGTGGCACCACGCCTGCCTTGCAAGCACAAGGTCCTGAGTTCAATTTCCATTGCCAAAAAAAAAAAAAAAAGAATATTGTTCAAGGGTAACACAGATAGAAATCATGAAGTCAGGCTTCAAGCCCAAGTAAATCTGATTTCAGATCTAACGGCTTGCGACTGTTTAATTTATTAGTGAAATAATCTTGCGCCCAAGTAACAGCATTTTAGAACCCTTGTTTGCATAAAGTACGAACCTTTTGTACATATCTGTTTTCTCTTGAATTGTTATATATTGTAAAAATTTTAATTAAAAAGAAAATAGCTTTACTTTTTTTCTGACTAGAAGGTGATGAAAAAAATGAAAACTGCCCATACTCATGCTACTGCAGTATAACCATTGTATAATTTTATAAGGAATCTTCAAATACTACATTTTTGATACCAATTACAACTTAGTATTTTTCTTCTTTAACAAGTGATACCTGAATTCTTAAAGGTTTTATGTTAAGCTGTTGCTTCTTAGAGAATACCTCATGCTAGACATATGCTGGGGATCTTTCTTTCCCTGGCCATGTTGGTCTCTGTGTCTGCCACTCCGGAGCCTCTGAAATAAGAGATGTCTGCCTGTTATCTAGCCTCATGTTGACCTTGGCGAGCTCATCGGGTCCTCGGAGACAGAAGACCCAGTGCTGACAGTGACTGCCATGGGTCAGGACACAGAGGAGGCGCACACAACTTTGGCCATGTGGGAGGCTGGCATTCAGCACATAGAGCTGGAGAAAGGGAGCAGAGGCCTTGGTTTTAGCATTTTAGATTATCAGGTAAACATATTCTATTTTTAACATTTTTTTTTAAAAAAGGTGCCATATACTAAAATATACAGTGTTGATAGCAGAGAAAAATAAATGTTTCAGTCATTAAAGACATTTTCTTGGTTTTTGTGAGCCTTTAGAAATACTAATTTATATGATTCATTGATCATAATAAAGGATTTCTTTTAGCATTGAATTCATTGAGCTGTGTTATATTTAAACTCAGAAATTTGAGGAACACGGAATACATTTTAGGAATATCATATAGTGTTTTTGTTATTTGAGAAGTCTGTTTTCTGTGTTCTTGATTGGTGGAGCATGTTTAATTATAATTCATAAAATATTACTGTGCATCTTTGTCTTAGGTACATGATAAATTTATAATAGAACATATTATAAGTTCTGGTATCCAGTTATTTCACTAAATTTATGAGTATGTCTAAAATGGTACAGTGCCACCTGTGTCCTTACCTGCACTGTTCTGCGAGAAGTAGATGAGGAAATGCAGTGTGACAGCACAGCTGTTGTCCTTTGCTAGCACTGGACAGAAAGTCGCCTCAGTGAACTCTAGGGAGTTGAGTGTATAGGCCTGGATTCTGCAGCCATGTTCTGATGTTGAGGTTGCTGCGTAAATGAAAACACTGTGTCACCAAACACTCCATGACCTTTTTTTCTATATTTCTTCATTTCAAAAGAAGGAATGCTACCTTTCATACACTCACATCTCGTAACACCTATTTAACAGATGATGTTGTTAATACATCTGACATTTAGCCTCAAATGAGCTATACAATTTGACAGCTCAAAATTAGAATTTTAAAGTTGTTTGTACAATTTAAGAGGTCTGCTCAGAACAGTAGCAAATAAGAGTGCCATTGTTTCTGGCAAACTCCCCATCAACTCCCTAATATGAAATAGAGACAACTGTTGCCCAAATAATTCATTGGATGTTTTGTATAGAATTTTTTGTATGAAAATTTTAAGATACTTGATGCAGTTATCCATCTAATACAATTCAGAAGGGACACCCTAGAAAAACTTTTCAATGTAAAAAGGAAATGAGTTCTCATTGCTACTCATTCTGTTAGGATCCAGTTGACCCAGCAAGCACTGTGATTGTTATTCGTTCCTTGGTGCCCGGTGGCATCGCGGAAAAGGATGGACGACTTCTTCCGGGAGACCGCCTCATGTTTGTCAATGACGTTAACCTGGAGCACAGTAGTCTGGAAGAGGCTGTGGAGGCCCTAAAGGGGGCATCGCCTGGAGCTGTGAGGATTGGAGTGGCCAAGCCTTTACTGGTAAGAATTTGGGTGTTCATGAATTCCTCTTATATTTGTAAGAAAAATGGCTCATAGGCTTTTGTTTTTTAGCGTCAGATGTTCTTGTGATTGACTCATCACTTTAGGTACTTTTCATTATAATGATTATTAGCTGGATAACTATACAGATCTAATTTTGAGTAATATTTTTAAGAGGATAAAGGAAAGAAAACAGCTAGGATATTTATAAATAAATTTGTAACATTGTTTTGTGGTTCTTTTTTAACCTTGTTTAAATTCAGTAATAAAGTCATGAAGAAGGCAAAATCAGAGGTTTCAAAGGAATATGGATCCAAATATTAAAATGCCAGTGTATTGGGGGTATTGAAAATGAATGCCATTGACAACTAATAGTCGACTCTTTAATCATAGTGGAGCAAAGAAGAACCTCCAACAGAGTGGCTTGAGTTCCTGAATTATTTTGATCTCAACACATTTGTTGTCTAATTATTGTCAAGCAGGAAATTGAAGTTTGGAAACTGGGTTCATCAGTTTGTGGCCTACCTCGTGGAAGGAGTGGTTTGCATGGTGAATATTGCAGTATTGGGAGCAGCAGATGAATTTATGTTGCATATAACATTTGTCTTGTTAGGTGCCTTGTAACATGATACTCACCACATGGCCACTGTAGTGCAATTACATATCAGAGACATTGTCAGTTTCTTGGACCTTTTTTCCCAGTATATAAATTTAGTTTTAAATGAAAGGGCAAATATATTTTCTCTTAAGAAAATACAAGCACATAGATATATTTGCATAAACAGCAATAAAGATTTACTGTTTTTTGTAAAAGAATTTCTTAATAAGCTGTGTTAATGTATTTTAAAGTTAAATTATTCTGTGTACCAGTTTTAGTCCACAAAGAATTTTAGTGACCCATAAAAATGTATTTATGAAAAAATGAAGAGAGGGAAGGAAGAATGAAAAATATGGTAATCCAACCTAAAATCAATCAAGATTATAGAAACCATGAAAAGAGATCTATATAAAGAGTAATGTAAGAATGAAGATAGGGCCAGGATTTAGCTTAGTGGTTCTGCCGCCTGCCTTGCAAGCGCAAGGACCCGAGTTTGATCCCCGATACCAAAAAAACAAAAACAAGAATGAAGATAGGCTGCTAAAAGACTATGCAGATTTATTAAGGTTGGATCATAAATTTGGCAAACATGATTTAATATATATATCACTTCCCTTAAGGAGAAATTGTACCATGCTCTTTGAAGCATGGTCTTCTTCTTCCTAATTCCGAAATAAATTTCTTCGCATACCAAGTTTGATGTTTGAAATTCATTATACATTGTAACATAGGATGAATACGTTTAGTACTTAATGATGCTTAATAAATATTTATATGTTTAGGAAAAGAAAAGCAGATTTTTCTATTATACTTATGCATGTATATATCTATTGCTGACACAGAGTATGTATCTAAATATTTAACCCATTTTATTGGAGATTGGAATAAAAATGTTAGATTTTTTTAGTCGATGTGCTCAGGGTTATAGTATAATAGCTCAGGACTACAAGGGAAGCAGACAGTGTACTTGTACTGTTTTTGTTCTGTTTTATTTTATCTTATAAGCTCTGTTAAATTGTTCAGCTTCACTGTAGGCTCAGTAACATTCCTTGTCAAATGAGTTGCATTCTTTAAAGTAACCTCCTGAAAAGGGGTGACAGAGAGGAGATGACTCTTCTTTTTAGTGTTTTAGCCCTCTGCACCTGTTTTGAAGTCTTAACAACTAAGATTTGCCTGTCATTTTGCTGGAATATTTAACGGTTAAAATGACCAGAAGATTATTATAATACAAAAAGTTGTTGATTTTGATAATCTTTTATAAGAAGAGTGAAAAAAGAGTAGAAAGATTCTCGTCTAACACATGATGTTTTTACTAGAAAAAATATCCTCTTTGAGTCTTTTCAAATAAAGTGTTTAATGCGGGTATTTGTCAAATATATACTTATTCTATGTTAAAGTCGCTTACGTCATTTGACAACCTTCCCATTTTTTACTTCTCTCCCCTCACTTTCTTCCTCTCGTCTTCTTCCCTCCTTTCTGTTCTTCCTCGCTGCTCTCTTTCCTGGGAATTGGCCCCTACACACCCCTCTCCTGCAGCTGTCACCAGAAGAAGGTTATATCTCTGCTAAGGAGGAGTACTTTCTTTACTCGCCGCTCTCCTGCAAGGAGCACAGTCTGCCTGCCAAAGCCCTCTGCAGGGCTGACTTGGCTCTGGTTAGTGGCCACAAGTTATCCAGCTTCCTTCCCAAGTTCTTACATGTCTTACTTTGCCTTTCCAAATATTCTGAAAACTGACTGTGTTCTTTGCTCAGTGTGTTTTAGAAATTCATTGTGTATAACTTGCTTTCAACCAGATTGTGACCTAGTTCTTGTACTGTATGTACTTTGGTAAGCCAAATTTTGAGAGAGTTAATTCTTTTTGTTAATCTTTTTAAATTACAAGCTCTTGAAGTAGCTCTTAGGAAAGTTATATATATGGTATGTAAATATTTTCACATTTTGATATGTAACATACCAGGAAACTTTTGGCCCCACTCTCAGTGGTCATCATAATTTAGCAGGCTATGAACTGTGCAAGGCACTGTTATATTAAATAGTACCCAGAAATAGCAAATTATTCCTGAAATGTCACAGGATGTAATTATATCATTGTTTTTAAAATGTCTCAAGAAACAGTATTCTCTCTGTACAGTTTACATGGATTCTTTGAACCTCTTTAAATGAATGTCAATCTAAAAGAAGATTAGTCCCACTTTTATGGATGCTTAGCATTTTTATAATAATAATAGATCCCCTGGATCTGCTCCCTAACCAGCTGTGTAATGTTCTGCTCACTCATCCTTTCTGGGCCCTCATGTTTTATCGCCACAGTAATTAAGCAAACAGTTTTAGAATTTCTCTTAAGATTCTAAGGCAATAGGTATACAAATATTCTTAAATATTATTTAAAATAAATTTTATCTATTACAGTCATGGCACAAGACAGTTAATACCATCCATCGCAGTAGCAAATACTAAATATTATCTAGTTTGCTGTGCATAATGTACATTTATAAAAGATAAATCTCTACTTAGCGTCTCACTGGTGAGTTGAAGTATGCACTTAAACTCTGCCATCGGGCCAGTGAAATGCATCTCAAGTAAAGGCCACGTTGAAGTAGCCCACCTGTATTTGTAGCAGCTCTTCCAGTACTACCTGCTGTAATGTTATAGTGCTTCTAACTTCTAAACATTTAAGTTAAAATAACAAAGAAATGGAATATGTGGAATTCATCATCAAGATGACCAGAAAATGCTGATAGATCAGAAGGTGTGAGCATGAGTAAACTGCAAGTGTCAAACACAATGTGACTTTTCCTTGGGTCTGCCATGGAAGATCATAATAGGGTTTTTAGAAAATATGTGGTGAAATTCCCTGACTCATTCTGTATGAGTGTACTAATAGAAGTTTATAGCCTAAAGCTTCCTCGTAACTAGATGATAATTAGGCCCCTTATTAGAATAATTTTAGAATGAAGTCAAATTTTTTTTCCTTTGGTTAATACAACTTCAAATGGTTTTAAACTCTAGTTAAAGGTGAATTAGATAAAACACATAGTGAGGTTTCAAAAACATAATTCTTGGTTTGCTATGCTTTTGAATACGTTTATTTTAGAGGAATAGAGAGAACCTTGTTCATTTTAAGTGGTAAGAGTTTGTCATGTGAACTTGATAGAAGTAAATATTTTATTTAACTTTTTGAAATGCTGATACTTAAAATTGATCCAGGACTTTTGTTACTACTTTTAGCTCTTTTACTGATAGAATAAAGTAGCCTTCAATGCCAACACTCTGTTCTAGAGGTGGGCAGTTTGTCCTTGTGCTGCTGCAGAGCCTCTTATGTGCCCAAGAGAGTGGAAAGAATGTGCAGTAAACAAGATAGACAGAAGAATGATCCCAGTGTACCTTTCAGTCTCATGCACAGGAGACTGATATTTGTGGTAAAACAGAATTCCCAACTGATACTGTTTTATTCCTAGGTGGATACACAGAATGCTGAAATGGTAGATGAATCCACATTTGAGTCACAATACTCTCCTGATAACGACAGTGTCTACTCTACCCAAGCCTCTGTCTTGTCTTTTCATGGCAGTGCCTGCAGCGATGGTCTGAGCTATGAGCCCTCCCTTGCATCATCTCCTCCCAAGGTATGAAAAAAAAAGCCATTTTACTTATGAGGAGCCTTGTGTACAGTTTTCCAGAGATTCTTGTGTAAGGACAAGTTGTGGGAGTAGCATATTAGAGCCATTATATTTCTCCAGCCATGGATTCACTATCAGATTAAAGTACAGTTTCATTTGGCTAGTGTTGATTGGCTTAGAGATTAGTGTGGACTGTTTAATTTTTTTTTTTTGCCACTCACAATATTTATTGGTCAGTTTCATTTTAAAGGCACCAATCCCTTACAGTTTAGTTTCAAATGGAGGCCAGAATGAGAAGAAAAGATAGGAAAGAAGAAATACTACCTGTTTTCCTAATTTTCTAACTAAACCAGTGTTCTTTATAATTGCATATAAGTGATTTTTCATTTATAGGATCGATCCTGAGCCTCTGATACTCTGGACTGTTGAACAGGATTAGTTCCAAACCCCAAACTTTCAAGGCCTTGCTTATAACTTGAATAGAGAAAAAGCCACTGTCATCCATGTTTCCAGAAGGCGGCTGTAAAAATGTGCGATAGTCTTCACTAGTGACTCCACCTTCTGCCATTCTCATCCTTTCTTTTTCATCTAGCTGATGAGCAATTGAGGATAATTCCACGAGGCTAAAATATTCTCCTTGCAGTAGATTATTTAGGCAATGTTGAGTACAAAGTGATCCTTCTTATTTCTCGTGGAAGATGGACTCCACGTTTATTTGTCTGGAGCCAACGACCCCCATGGACTGTTTAATTTTAATGTCTGTCAGGCAGTGATAGACACAAGAGTTCAAAGTTTTGATTAGAATTTTCATGTCAGAGAGAAAAACTTTAATGAAATGCATTTTCCAAGCTGTGGGTTTTAACATTATTTATTTTGGAAAATTTCAATAATAACATTATTTTCTTAATGGTTTTAAAATTAACTTTTATGCATAGTTGGATAGTGAAAGTATTTCCTGCATTAATTTAAAATTTACTAGCCAAGGTAAACTTAATGCTGTATTTTTATATAAAATGATACCAAAGAACAATTTATGTAAAAGTCACAGAACAAAGTATGTTTATATCAGTGGATGTTAATGAAGTTTGTTTATTGTTTGAAATATCATCTGTATTTTAGAGATTAAACTAGTGGCATAAATGCCCCAATGCTATCCATTTTCTTGGTGACATACTCTATAATGATTAGTAATAGTTTAAACCTATCCAGTCTTTTAAGTGCAGAATTGTATGTTATTTCGTACTTTAATTTGTATTTACTGATTACTAGAGAAATTTAATACTTTGCCACCTGTTGACCACTTGTTTTTCACATTTCACCAATAATCTTTCATATAGTTTGACCACTTTTATATTGGTTACTTATCTTTCTGATGATTTGAGTAGTTTTTATATCTGAAAATTAATGCATTTGATACATAGTTTTACAAGTGTGTATATGAGTGTATGGTGAAAATTAAAAATATGTAAGCATGATATTTCTCAACTTTGGAAAGAAATTATCCTCGTTGAGAAAAAGGAAACACAGGAACTTAGTTGTATCTATCATATATCATTTGTTTTAAGAAAAAACATGATTGAAGAAAATATGGAAAAATGTTCATATGTGTTAAATCTAGGCAAAGTTTTCATATGGATATATTTTCTTTATTTTTCTATGTTAGAAATATGCCATAAATATACTTTAAAGATAAAGAAATTGGACAGTCATTTTTCCTAAATATACAATAATTTTTTCTGCATAGACTGAATTTATGGGAAAGAGTCTCATTTATGAAAACATTAGAAAGTTATATTTTCATAAGTCTAGCACCATTTTTCCCTTTCCTAAATAACAAGTAATTTGGGGGCCAGAACATTTTCAAAGCATTTTGTTTTTATGTTCACGGTGCACCTGTTATCCTTGCAAATGATGCTGGGCAATCTCCTTGAATTGGTTTGGAAGGTATAATCTTGAGTGGAGCAGCTGTTCCTCTCCTAGCACACCTGAGACTTCTGTCTGGCTGTGTCCTGTCTGGAATATGTGCAGCCTTTACTGGCCTTGGGGCTGGCAGTTGAGTTTATCTCCTAATGGAATCTCTTAGTCCACAGTGTAGCATACTTCTTCTTGCCAGTGGTACAGATTGCATTGTTTAACTTGGTAATTGTTACTTAAAGGGGCTACACAGTCTGCATACTGAGAAGTGTGTATTTCGCAGGGCAAACGCTGGCTGCATGCAGCACCACATACTGACTTACTGAACTGTGCTTGCCTCTTACTTCTTTTTTTCCCCCTAAGCAGTTTACTCTTCTGTTGAAGCAAATTTGGCAAGCTGGTCTAATAACTGAAATATTTAAAGTACAAAACAACAAAGCATTAATGAGAGTGTTCCAAAACACATTGTAAAACTCCTTGTAAGTTCAGTTTCTTAGAAAGTAGGAACATTCCAGCGTCATGTTATATCTCTGCAAATCCAGTGTTTGGTTCACATTTAGACTGCACCTTTTCAAGTACATATATATTTACTATAAAAATTTATTCAAATAAAAACTATATAATATATTCTTCCTGTTTCTTTGCACTAAATTTATCTTAAAAGACAGAATGGTGATTTATTATGGAATTTAGAATGGACTGTTTTTCTTGAACAATGAATTTACATTAAGACTTTTAAATTAATAAACCATATAGTATATATAATTATTTAAATATGTGGTGTATGTGGATATTTGAGAAAAACAAAGATATAGCTGCTCATTTTTTTCCTGTTCACACAAATCTCCCACTTGAGACCCATTCTGCATTTTTTAACATGTTGTTTTTATTAGTACGTGTTTGCAGTAAATAATGCTTACATTCCTTGTGTGGAGTTGGTACAAGTACCTAACACATCTTACTTCCTTTTTTCATCCTCTTTTCCTCCTCTCCCTCCACTGTCTCTTGATTCCCTTCCTATCAGAGAAAGATCTGTGTTTTTTTAAAAGAAATATGTTTACTTAATTTAATTGAGTATCATTTTAGGATTTAAATGTATTCACTTCCATGTCATTTGAATTAATCAGAGACAGGTCACTGAAATGTGCAATTTAAAGGCACATAGCTGACTCCAGGGATTTTTTTTTTCCTTTCTCATTGTTCTGTGCTTTTGTTAATACTTTTACTTCTTTTCCCTGTTACCTTCAAAGACATAAAAAAAATGCAGAAATAGTTGTTTTCCAAATGTAACTGTAGATTCTTGATTAAAAGCTCAACATACTTTCTGATTAATGGATTCTGCTTTATTATACATATGTCCTATATATTCCCACAAATTTCCACTTAGTGTTAATCTCTAACATACAGTATTACTGCCTTTACATCCACATTTAGAATGTTGATGGTGTCTTCGTCTTTTTAGAGAAGTTGAGATCTAAAAACTAATTAAATCACTCTGATCAAAATGAGTGCCTGTAAATGTCTTAGTGACAAAATTGGAGGCTGTCCAAGGTATAAAAGATGTTGCCTTTTCCTACCATAGAGTCAATGTGTAATCAATAAAGGAGGTGTGTCATATCTCAGAATGAGTGGAGAATCACTGTAAGCTGGAGCAGTGGTACACACAGTCTTTCTTTTTTTCCTTAAGTGTAACAAAATTTTCTCTTCTGTTGCTTATTGGGAAAAAGTAGGTTGTAGTATTTAGCTATTCTACGTAAATTTATTATTTCGATGAATAAGTTGTCCAAGTGTAACCTCAAGCATTCCACTTAAAAAATAGAGCATTTAAGTACATTTGATGTTTTAATCTAATCTATTATCCCCCGTGTATCCCTGAGAACAAGAATTACAAGGTGCAATTAAAATATGCAGTGTGATGAATGCTTAAATTTTAAAAATGATTACAGTAAGAGCACATTGCCATTAACCCCCCTCAGAATACTTCCACGTACTTCAGCTACTTATGTCATTGTTCTTGTCGTGTGAATTAGGTCTGGAAGTTCTCTTTTGTGAGTGTCTTTAGGAGGTGTGATAAAAAGTATGGTGAATGTTGCTGCTGAGTGCAGTCTAATGAAAAGGCAGACTGGTAAAAACATGATGCTGTGTCCTCCCTCATTCACCATCCACGGAATTGGCACTGTGTAACTTTGTGCTCTTCCCCAAAGTCAAAATGACTGTGAAAAATAAATGTTTTAAATTGATTCAGAGCAAGGAAGCCACCTCAGCACAACTAAACACACTCTTCCACAACTGCTTTAGAACGTACTGAGACAGATGGGATAAGTGTGTTTAAAGTGAGGGGGACTATTTTGAGGGAGATTAATGGCAACTTATCTTTTATTGTAATAATTTTTTAAAATGTAAGTGTTAACCATATTTTTTATCATACCTTGCATATCAAGTATAGGCAAATATTAATATGTATTTTTGAAAGCTTTCAGTTTAGATGTTAAGATGCACTAGAAAATGTAAGTTATTATTTTACATTTTATGTGGAAGAACTGTTTTTCTTTTAGATTGTAAGACTTTTAAAAATAAAACTCGGTTGTTCAGCAACCAAAAATGTTTCTGTAGTGGGAGTATGTTGTCTACTGTGTTGATTAGTTATTTCTTTTCTATGAGCCTGTGTTAACTCCTTCATGAATAATACATGGAAATTTCCGTTACACCATTTTCAGCAAACCCCAGCTAACAAGGCTGGCTTGACCTCTTTTTCTTTGAAAAGCACTGTTGCTTATTATTCATTTGAGGCGTGGGTGAGATGATTTATGGCTAATTATTATAATTAATTTAGTAATACTGAAGCTAACCAATTCTTTAGTAAGTACATTGTTATTTTTCTTAAGAACAAAATAATTGGAGCTAAGTGAATGAGACAGCAGGTTAGACTCTGAGAATGTAGAACATATTATTTTGCTATCATTTGTTTCTCAAAAGTCTAAAGATATTAATTGCTTAAATGGTAGACCAACCACATCCATTCATTGTTCCAAGAATATTTGATAATTTCAGAGGTGATAACTTGCATTTAAGAAGAGAAGTGTAATAAATTCTGTTGCAGCAGTTAAATTCCCCATTTATATAAAATAGAGACCCACATCTCATACTACATCTGAAATAAATTATAGATGATTTAAATCTGAAAAATTGTTATATAAAATATATCACAAAAATAATAGAAAACACTTCATTTACTTTGTGTAGAGGAACAATTTATGAATCAGTATGTATAACCCAGAAACCAAACAAATGAGTAAAAGAAAATTAAAATTTACACATTTGATTATATAAGGAGCTTTATTTCTGCATGACCAAAATACTGTGAATATAAATTTAAAAGACAAGTTAACAGCGAAAATATTTGCAGTGAATTTAAGAAAACATTATATTCATACTAGAGCAAGTAAAAATCACTTGATAAAATATTGTATTTGAATATATGTGCTAATTCATTTCATTTATACTACTAGTTTCTCTGAGCTCATTGAAAAGAAAGTTTTGTACTATTATCTGTTTTTTGTAAGAATCTTTTTGGTCTGTGTCTTGTACTCTGAGTAACTACTATGAAGATAATGATATTCAGTGTATTGACTATTCTTTTATTATTTTATTATGAGATTTTGTTTTATTTTCACATAAAATTAAAGAAAATTGGGTTAAGTATATGAAGAGAGTGTTCATGAAAGATACACAAATGGCATGCCCTGGCTAATTATCAGGAACATTATAGTAAAACACTGCTGAATATTATTTCTTACAGATAGTATTACCAAACTAGTCTGTAATTGTTGAGAGTAGTTAATAGATATTCCCATATTCTCTTTTTGTGAGAGAATATTGGAAGATGCTTTGGCCATATGTACTAACATTTTAAGTTTGAATATCATTGGACCTCTTTAACAGTTCATAGCAATTACATTTTTATACATGTGCACGAAGGTGTATAATATAAATAACTGCAAAAGCTAACAACTGTTGGACATTTTATCTTTGTGAGGGCTGTTTCTAAGATTTTATGGATATTAGCTCTGTCTTCCAAACAGTTTTATATTAGGCCCTGCTATTTTCCCAAATTAATAGGTAAGAAAACCAAGGGTGTTTAACTTACAAAACCTCAAACAGTTAACCAGTATGAACCAGAATCTGTACTCCAATGCCTCCTATACTTAGGAATAATTTTAGTATAAGAAGATTAGGCTTTTTTTAACTTACAGAAAAATTTCTGTTATCAGAGTATAAAGATACTGGGAAAAAGAGAACAGGTAAAATGAACCACTTAGTATTGGTTCTGTTCAGGTTTTTAAAAGGTACTATATTTCAGCATGTATATGTGAGTTCATGTGTACTTGTGCGTACATATGATACAAACACATAAACTAGGAAAGATAAATACCTGATGCCAGTCACTTTTACTCATGGAAGGAGTGGAGGAGGATCTATGACAGAAGACTTTCATATTATACTCTGTAGGCATGCACAGTGCATATCTGTATGGCTTGAATCTTTCATAGAGTAATGTGTTTATGTGCTACTTTTGTACTTTAAAAATTAAAAATTGAAAGGAAAACTGATATGCATATTGTTCATAAAACAACTGTTTGCTCAAAGCACATAAGTTATATAACATATCTGCTGTAAGTACAGATACATGTATTTCCATAAAACTATAAAATTTTAGTTTCATGGAATTGTAGAAAGTGTCTAGTGTATAGCCGAGAGAAGTTCTGTGATATACAGACTTCTGATAGAGTCTGGGATAGAACTGCGACAAGCCAGTTTAATGTTCTTTCTATTATATTTCATAAGATATTCTTGTAAAATTTCCCTATGATAATCTGAATTGCAAGGCTTTCTTTTCTCCTCTGTAAGTACCTATAAATGCTTATCAAAAAAGTTTTCTCTTGGAGGTTCTTTTAAATCCAATTCAATTAATAGCATACTTTGAATACTCTGACCTCGTAGTAAATAAGAATGTCTGACTGATTGGAGATGTACTTTTTTTTAACACACTTTAAGTGAGATTTGGAAATATAAATTATTTGTATCCTTTATGTAGGTTAAACTGAATAATTATATTAGTGGACATAGGTGTGATCAAAACATGGTAAATATTTAAATTTTTTAAAAATTATCACAGTAAAAGACACATTGCCATTAATCCCCCTTAGAATGCTCTCCCTTTCAAACATACTTATCCCACCATTCTTGCCCCTCCCTGGAGCAGTTCTGAAAGTCCTTTTGTATGAGTGTCTTCAGTTGTGCTGTCCTGGCTGCCTGTATGTCCTCCTGAATTGACTCCTAATGATTCCCTTTCATAGTCATTTTGACTTTGGGGGAAGATCCAGAAGTTGGAGGGTGCCAGATCTGGTAAATAAGGTAGATGAAGACACATCGTAATGTTTTTATTTAACAGAAATTGCTGTAAGCATTTTTAATCAATTTGTAATATTGAAGCATTTACAAAAGAGGATTTCCAGAACTGTTTCAGAATGTAGTAATAATGATGAGAATGTAGCAAGAATGATGGAAGTTAGAAGAGGTATATTGAAGGGGAATTAATGGCACTGTCTTTTACTGTAGTAAAGTTTTAAAAATTACTTTTTAAACATACTGCACAATTTATTATCATACCTCACATTGTATCTGAATGATCTTTATGTATGGTTTGTTGTACACATATCAACCAGTAGAAAATGAGATTTGCAGGAAAGGTATTAAAAGCATTTATGAAAATAAATAGGCAGAAAATCTGCTGAGTGAATAATCTACATTTGTTAGTGCTTTTAGGATAAATAGTTGTGTTTTATTTTTCACTAAATAGTTGTTCATTAAGTAGTTATAAAATAAATTGATGTAAGCCTACAATTTTTTTTCTCTTAATTAGCAGGATGTTGATGAAAATGCTTCCAATCCAGTACATGATCTGCACATGTCTTTGGAAGAACTGTATGCCCAAAGTCTCCTGCAAAGGCAGGATGAGAATCCACCTTCGATAAACTTAAGCCTGGGATCTGCTTCTGGTGTTGCCATAAACAATTATACACCTGGAAATACTATCGAACAATATGGACATGAAAACACGATAGCTTGGACTGAATCTCAGTTACCACGTGAAGTTGTATCAGGTTCAGAACTGCCTTCTACTGTGGTACCTGATTCAGCTGGGCAGGTAAAATTGTAAAGACTTGGTTTGTGTATGATGAGACAGTGAAGAATTAGTGTGCTGGCCAGTCTGTTTATTTAGTCCTTGCTGAATAAAGCCCAACTAGGTAAAGCACATGTGTAATGTTGAAACATACTCCAAAGTCTAGTTTTCTTTTCTACGTAACTTGTTTTTTCTTTCTTTCTTTCAGAGCTCTGAGTACTTAATTGAACAGAGCTCTCTGGCCTCTAGTGACAAGTGTGTCATGCTAGAAAATATGTCCAAAGAATCTTTTGAGAGGACTATTACTATAGCAAAAGGCAATTCTAGCCTAGGTAAGTTCCTCATTTTCTACCTATCCCCACTTCTCCAACCCACTGGGCAAGGGGGGTGCCATTGAACATGATAGGTTTCAGTATGTTTTAGCTGTATATAAGAAAATATAGGTTAGAAATTTTTTGTGGTTCTTTTGGGTTTTCTTTTTATGTTCTCATTATTTTTCCTGAAATGGTTAACAAGGTTGTTTACTTCATAGTGGCTTAAATTCCTCATTCTTTCTATTATTTCACAGTAATCAAAAGCTTCATTTACATTCAAGTAAAAGATTTTTGAATTGTTTGAGTATGAAACAGCAAATCAGAAAAGGAATTCTTGGAAAATGAGAAGTCAGCAATTTGGAATTCTAAATTCTTTGGAAAAGTAAATTATTAGTTTCTTTGAATGTAACCAGTTATGTATAAGTCAGTTTGTGGTTAATCTCTTTCATTTGCTGAAATAAAGAATAAAACAGCCAGGTGTGCCACTACCAAAATATAAATGCAAGTTATTCAGTAATTCTTCCTAGGTGGTAGGATTTTGAAGTCCTCTGTTACCCCTGAATTGTTTCAGCTGGTTAATAATCACAAAGCCCTCTGAATGCGGCAAAGAAGACTTCCTGTACTGTGCAGGGACAGGGCAAATTTCTTCTTCATTGAGTGAGCAATCATATGATTCAGTCTCATTCCTTCTGCTCCTTGCTGCTGACAGGAAGAAAGATCAATTATTCTGAATGGCCTAATGTGCCCCAGACTCTAATTTGCTCTGTATCAGGGATCCTGTTCTCTTTGAGGTAACTTTTTGCATTCATACCTTATGGCAGACAGGATCTTGTTTTCTTGTTAAATTTGAGATATGGCAAAGACTCCAGCTTCTGTCTCCTAGATTTTGTTCTATTTGGTGGGTACTGGACACTATCAATAGCAGCTAAGTAGAGAATTACAGCAGAGGATTTCAAATTTGTTGTACTGTCTCATGTATGATGGGTAAATCTAGACACATTGCCACTAATTTCCCTCAAAATCATACTACTCTTAATACTCCATAGGATATCGACAGGAATTGTAAGTGGATTACAAGTTTAAAAGTTTGAGATGTGGTAAATTTAAGAAGACAAGTTTCTTTTGGTATTATTTCGCAGTATCTTTGATACTCTGGTATGTATGGTGTATCTCTGAGAAGAGATAATTCAGTGTAGCATTCCACTGTAGCGTTTAAATAGCCATGGAACTTTTGTGTGTGTGTGTGTGTGTGTGTGTGTGTGTGTGTTTGTGTAACTTATGAGTAGAAAATTCCTGTTTGAGAATCCTTATTTTATTGGTTATGGTTAATCAAGTACCAAACATTTATTGTTTTTTTTAATATTCTGACCACTATACATAGGCACCATAATATAATCTCTTTTAATAAGGAATGTAAGTTTAAAGAGAGTAAGCAATGAACACAAAATCTTAAAGGTATTGAAATATTATACATCCTACAGTAGACATTCATATAGAGGATATTGAAATCTCTTTTTTATTCTTTAAGTTTAGTGATACATTTTAGGTATACATTATGATCACATTCATCATTGGGAATTTGTACCTGTACATGTTATGTCTTGATTCTTATTTTTTCCCATTCCCCTTCCCTCCTTCCCACTCTTCCACCCCCCGTTCCCATTTTTCCTTCTTTTCACATATTTTTCCCTTCTTTCCTTTCCTCCACCCCCCCTCCACTTCTCCTTCCCATTTGAAACTTTTCTTTCATTTCACATTATCTTCCTGTTGCACATTATGCATTTTGGTTCTCCTTTGTACTTCCAGTTTCTCACACCAGAGAAACAATTTGGTATTTATACATGTATGTCCTATTTATTTCACTTAAGAATATGGTTTCAGTGTGCATCCATTTAGCTATAAATGTCTCTAGTTTATCATTCTTTATGGCTGAGTAGTACTCCATTTTATAAACCACACACGCACACACACCTTCTTTATTCAGTCAGCAGTTGATGGGCATTTGGGCTGTTTTCCAAGATTTAGCTATTGCAAACTGTAACACTATAAACTTGGATATAGCTGTGGTATGATGCTTTTAATTCTTCAGGGAGATAGCTGGGTCAAATGAGACTTCTAATCCTAGATTTTTGAGGTATCTCCGTATTGATTTCCACAGTGGTTGCACCAGTCTGCATTCCCACCAACAGTTGCCAAGGGTTCCTTCCCCCACCCTGCCCCCCGAAGCCTTGCCAGCATTTGTTATTGGTTGATTTTTTGATAGCAGCCATACGTTCTGGGGGGAGGTGGAATCTCAGTGTTTTCATTTGCATCTCTCTCGAAGGACCAGTGATGTTGAACATCTTTTTCATGTTAATTTGTTATTTCTACTTCTTTGTTTGAGAAATGTCTGTTTATTTCCGATGCCCATTTTTTCATTGGGTCTTTAAATTTGGAGTTCTGATTTTTTTAAAGTTCTTTATACATTACAGATAGTACACCTGTCTGAGGAACTACTGGTAAAAAATTTTTCCCACATTGTGGGTTGTCTCTTCACTCTGTTGGTGGTTTCTCTTGCTATGCAGAAGCTTTTTAATAAGACAAGATCCTAGTTGATTCTTTGTGCTAGTTCACATGCAACTGAGGTTTTGTTCATAAAGTCTTTTCCGTCAGTGTCTTCAATAGGTCTACCTAGCCTATCTTCTATCTTTAATGTTTCTGTTTTAATATTTATATTTTTAATCCATTTCAATTTTAGTTCAGTGCATAGTGAGAGATACGGGTCTAGTTTTAATCTTTGGCACGTTGAAACCCAGTTTTCTCAGCACCATTTATTAAAGAGGCTGTCTTTCCTCTAGTGGCTCCTTTGTCAAAGATGAGGTAGCTGAGTACGTCTGGAGTTGTTTCTGCATCTTCTAGTATGTTCCAGTGATCCTCAGGTCTGTTTCTTTGCTGTTCTTCCACGCTGTTTTTATCACAGTAGCTTTGTAGTATAGTTTCAAGTTGGGGATTGTGATACCTCCTGCCGTGTCTCTGTTACCTAGAATTGCTTTTGCTATTCTAGGTCTCTTCTGGTTCAAAAAGAATTTTTGGATTGTTTTCTTTAGTTCTGTGAAATACGCTATTGGAATTTTAATTGGGATTGCATTGAGTCTATTTGGCAGTTTTAGAAGGATAGCCATTTTCACTATATTGGTTCTTCCTACCCAAGAAGAAGGTATGTCTTTTCACTTTCTGATAATCTCTTCAAGCTCTTTTTTTCAGAGTGCTGTAGTTTTCAGAGTAGAAGTCTTTTATTTCTTTTGTTAGATTGATTCCTAGGTATTTCATTTTTATGAGTACTATTGTGAAAAGACTTGTTTTTCCAATTCCGTTCTCAGTGGGTTTGTTGTTCTTGTACAGGAAAGCTGTTGATTTTTGAGTGTTGACTTTGTATCCAGCTACTGTACTGAATTTGCTTATTAAGTCTAGAAGACTTTTAGTGAAGTTTTTGGAGTCTTCTATATAGGATATCATGTCATCTGCAAATAATGATAGTTTTAACTTCTTCATTTCCTATCTTTATTCATTTTATTTCATTCTCTTGTCTAACTGCTGTGGCTAATGTTTCCAGAAATACATTGAACAGGAGTGGAGCTCGTGGACACCTTTGTCTTGTTCCGTATTTTAGCCTGAAGAATTTCAGTTTTTGACCATTTAGTATGATGTTGGCTGTTGGTTTTTCATAGATGGCTTTTAACAGGTTGAGAGAAAGATCATGTATTCCGGTATTTTGTTGGGTTTTATCATGAATCAATGTTGGATTTTGTTGAAAGCTTTTTCTGTATCTATTGAAATGATCATATTTTTTTCCCTTGGCTCTGTTAACATAGTGTATTGCATTTATTGATTTCCGTATGTTGAACCATCCCTGCATCCCTGGGAAGAATTCTTCTTGGTCAGGGCATATGATCTTGATGATCTTCTGCATGTTGTTTGCCAGTATCTTAATTAGGATTTTTTCATCTGTGTTCATTGGGGAGATTGGCCTGTAGTTCTATTTTATGATTGGGCCTTTCTCTGCTTTGGGGATCATGGTAATGCTTGCTTTCAGGAATGAATTTGGGAGTATTGCTTCCCTTTCAATTTTATTGAGGAGTTTAAACAGTAGTGGCAATAGCTCTTCTCTAAATGTCTTGTAGAATTCAGCCGTGAAGCCATCAGGACCCAGGCTTTTCTTTGTTGGTAAGTTTTTAATTATGTTTTCAATTTTGTTGATTGATACTGAGTTGTTTAGAATTTTTATATCTTCTTTGTTCAACTTCGGTAATTCATATGTATCTAGAAATCTGTCTATTTCTTCTGTGTTTTCCATCTTATTGGCATATAGGTTCCCAAACTGGGTATTGATGATCCTCTGGATTTCTGCTGGATTTGTTGTAATTTCACACTCTTCATTCCTATTTGCATGGATTTGGGCCTTTTCTTTTTCTGATAAGGTTGGCTAAGGGTTTGATTTTGTTTATTCTTTCAAAGAACCAACTCTTCAGTTTGTTGATTTTTTTTTTTTGTATCGTTCTCTTAGTCTCCATTGCATTAATTTGTTCTCTAGTCTTTATAATTTCCTCCCTTGTGTGAGCTTTGGATTTGTCTTACTCTTTTTCTAAAAGCTTGAGGTCTAGCATTAGGTTGTTTTTTGAACTCACCCTGTTTTCCTAATATGGGCATTCACTGCTATGAATTTTCCTCATAAGTCTGCTTTCATTGTGTCCCATAAACTCTGATATGTTGTATTGGCATTTTCATTTATTGGCATTTCATTTATGTTTTGGCATTTCATTTGTAGAAACTGTCTAATTTTTTGTTTAATTTTCTCTGTGACCCATTGGTTGTTCAGCAGGGTGTTACTCAATTTCCATGTGTTTATGACGTTCTTATGGCTGCTTCTTTTGCTATTGATCTCCAATTATATTATACTGTGATCTGATAATATACAGGGGATAACTTCAGTTTCTTTGCACTTAAGCATGTTCTGTGAGCTAGTATGTGGTCTATTTTGG